TACACAAACATGTCCACGGCATGATTGTTAGAAATAATTCAAGTTCTCATTTACAGCTCTTGATTATACATATTAAAAAATAATATAAATTATATTATCATGTCTCACATAATAGTTTAAGTTATTTTAATTGAAATAGTCTTTTTGTATGGTATTAGTCTTAATAATCAAATGGTTAGAAATTTGAATCTCATCACCCTCTCTTTTTTTTTTTTTTAATTGAACGGTTACAAGTTTGAGTTTATCCTTTTTAATTTCTCTTTTAATTAAGCACAAAGTAATAATAAATCTATATAATTAACAATTTAAACTTTTGAGTTAAAATAATCCTATACAATATATATGTTCTAATTTCAGGTGGAGAAGGCTATGCTTCGTTTGAACAAATGGGAAGACAAGAAGGAACTACTTTGAATGTAGTATTTGGTATATCGGACTGAACATCGATGCGCATCCCTTAGCCAGATATTTTATCAACTTCTCCTATGGAAACGTCTAGCTAGTCTTATCCAATTTAGTTGAGTTTCATACCATCCCGTTCAATCCAATCTCATTCCATCCATTCTCGTCCGCTCACCAAACTGAAATCGAAGTTGAAGAATATTGCTGAATTATCCGAAAGCAAGAGCATCATCGTGCTTGTGCTAAAATTTCAAGTTCATTATTTTTACTGGAGGAAACATTACTAAACACTTGGTGGCAGGAAAATCAGCCATCAAGATTGCTACGAATAAAGGTGCCATTATCTAACATCCTAAGCCAACACTTTTATCTTTTCTGAAAAGATTTACGTTGTGATCCAAAGAAGTGGGATGCTTGATTTCTGTCTTTAAAATATCATGTACCATCTTGGTATCTCAGACTGTCAAGCCAACTGATACATGTGTATCTTCAGCGTTGGTTGCCAGCCAAAATCATAGAAAATTGCTAGTTGAATATCAAACAGAATCTTGCTATGTCAGTAATGTATCTGCAGTATAATTTTGTATCTTTACCTTCCATGTATGCATGCATTTCCTTATTGTACAAGCTGTCATATATTGCAAGAGTCACTCTGTACAAAACATATATAATTAAGTACCAATATACTCGGTCCTGTGTGAGATACGGTAGGGTTTATTTAGAAATTTTAAAATATTTAAGGAGTAATTCTTCAGTATTGTTAGTTATTTGTAGAATAAAATAAAATTTCTCAAGTTTACTTTAAATTCTTGTTCTAATTCAAACCATGACTGGCTCTATTATTATAAAGAAAACCAAAAGAGAATTGTGGTGGGTGAACAGTGATCATTGTTCATTTACAGCATCTCAGTTCTTTTGGTTTGAGTTTTTTTTTTTTTTCTTGGTTGAACACATCCAAGGCCTAGCGCGTCGACCAGTCCCGGCCCCGCAGGCCAACCAAGCGTGAGCCTCGTCTTTTTTTTTTTTCTTCATATATATATATATATATATATCATGAAATTAGATGTGAAATATATGAAAAATCAATCGTTATTTTTTTAGTTTTACATATAATTTGAAAATGATAGAATATATATGATATTTTTTAAGATTTTAGTTTAAACATATATATCTAATTATATTACTCTTATTGTTTAAAATTTATTGCTTCAATTATTTTTTTTATTAAACTTCTCATCAAATTAATTTTTTGATATAATTTTATTTATTAATAAATTTAGTTTTTTAATTTATGAATTTTGAAATAAAATTTTAGAACATCGGTGTATTACTTTTTAAAAATATATTATTATAATTTATACAATAAATTATTTTTATGCTTTCTAAATGAGTGTTTTATTTTTTAATATATATATATATATATATATATATATATATATATATATATATAGAGAGAGAGAGAGAGAGAGAGAGAGAGAGAGAGAGAGAGCTAAAAGTATATTTTAGATAGTTTGACTTATTTTTAAAAAAAAACAATAATAATCGGTTAAACAAATTCACAAGTTTTGTTTGCTCTTTTAATATATTTTTATTTAAAATTTATAAGAACCAATTTTTTTATAGTTTTTATTTTAATCTATTGGATTCAATATAATTCATACAATTTAGGTGAGTTTTTGTTTTTATATATATATTCTATATGCTCTAAATTTGTTAAATATGATATATATATATATATATATATATATATAGTTTTGTTAAAAATTAATTATATATCTATACACATAATACCAATTATTTTTTATTTATTTTTTCATATTCTAAAATTTTTTTTTCAAAATAAAAAAGTTTAATAATGTTTTGAAAGAACCTTCCAATTATTCAAATACCAATTTTTATGCTAATATTATTAAATATTTTGTTAATAAATATATAAAAATAAAACTATTTCGCTCAATATATATATATATTTAATTTACATTAATTATCATAAATAAAACTTCTATTCGCAATGCACCATACAAATCGTTAACCATATATATGTAACGGTTATTTGACCGCATGATGTAACGTGAATATCTAAATAGTAACATATACTAAAAGAGAATGGACTTTCACTGTAGCTAAGTCCCTCTTTTGGCTTTTAGTGAATTTTATTTTTGTTTTAGTCCTTGTTTTGTAATTTTTTTTATTTTGATAATTAAAATTCTATTATATTTGATTTTTGTCCCTATAATACTTTTTTTGGCTTTTAGTAAAACTTGATGTTCTTTTTTTGTTCATATTTTGTAATATGTTTTTATTTTAGTCATTAAATTTTAATCATGTTTAATTTTTGTCCTAAAACTAAATAAAGTTTCACTACCCTAAGCCTTTTTTTTTTCTTTCGGTGAAACTTTTCTTTCTATTATAATTCCTATTTTGTGATTGTTTTCTTCGTTTTGACCATTAAATTTAGTAAAATTTTATTTTTATTTTAGCACTTTTTTGTAATTTTTTTTTATTTTGATCATTAAATTTTTATTATATTTGATATTTTTTCCTATAAGGAACTATTTTTTACTTTTAGTGAAATTGTTATTATGTTTTGGCTTTTATTTTTTCATCTTTCTTTTATTTTTATCATTAAAGTTTTATTATATTTGATTATTATTCTTTCTACACTAAAATTAAATACGGTTTCACTATTCTAAGTCTTGTTGGCTTTTAGTAAAAAAAAAATTATTTCGGTTCTTATTTTGTGAATTTTTTTATTTTAGTCATTAAAATTCTATCATATTTTATTTTTGTTCTTGCTTTATGTATAATGAATTTTTTTAGTCTTATTGTTTATAATTTTTTTTTTTGGCTTTTAGTGAAAGGTTTTTTTATTTATTTTGATCCTTCTTTTATGATCTTTACTTTTTTTTTATCATGTGCAATTTTATCTTTATTTATTTATTTATTTACCAAATTCTCAAATTGATAAAGCTTTTTGTCTTTTTTTTTTTTTTGGGTGGTCTCTTTCTATCACATTAACAAATTACGGATGAAGAATATATAGTAAAAAATTATTATCAAAAATTCAAAAAGCTAGCACATGATTATTTTATTTATCGGTTATTATATGTGTTTCTAATAAAAAAAATATGTTTGTATCAAACTATATCTAATTAGTAACATTATATTGCTCAACTTCACATATTTTTATTTAGTTAACCCTACAGCAGTGTATGAAATATATGTTTTGGTTTTTTCTTTTTGAATTTTTTTCGTGTGATAATTTTCAATAATTATTTTTAAATTTTGTATTTTATATGGATGAACACATAAAAATATTATATTGCTCACTATCAAAAGACAATCTCACCTAAAAGCTTAAGCTAATAGGTGAAGCCTCGGAATATAATTTATACTAGTCTCTAACACAATATTTGGGCTTGAAACTTGCACAAGTCCACTTTGCCTTGTGCTTAATACTTGAGAAATTGGGGATGGTGAGATTTGAACTTAGGACTACATGGTCAATCAAGCTTTGATACTATATCAAATGACAATTTCACCTAAAAGCTTAAGTCGATAGGTGAAGCCTCAAAATGTAATTTATAGTAGTCTCTAACGCTCACCTCGTGGCAACGCGTGGGATATATGCTAGTATAAACTAGATCAAAATAATTATCTTTACACAATAAAAATCATGTTTTTTTGGTTTTGTCACTAGCCGTGCTACATTATAAATTATATCTTGAGATTTCGTCCAAAAGATTACACCATTAGGTGAAGTCGTAGTATATGATTTATATTATTTTTTAATATATTTTCTCAAGTTTCAAATCCCCGTGACTTGAAACTTGCATAAAACTCGCATTATCTTGTGTTTATTTTTTTTTTTTTTGAATTAATTAGAAGAAAAAATAAAGTAAGATTCAAACTCTTCATCGATTGGTTAGTAAAGCTCGATACTATATATCAAAAAATCAGTACAATTCAAAATTTTAAACTTTTGAGTTGAAATTGTTCTTTGATATAATATCAAAACTTTGAAGATCAAATAATTACGAGTTCAAATTTTACCATTCATTATTTTTTTTATTGAAATTAAATAATTAAACAAAGTAATAATGACTATGTATAAGTTTTAAATTCAAAGAGCTTTCACTTAAGAGAGTGTGTTTGAGAGTGATATAAAAGTTATTTGAAGAAATAGTTACGGGGTAATATAAAATTATCTTTTAAATCTCATCTAATAATTTAAATTTTTAGATTGAGAATACATCATATTTTTTTATTAGAAAAAACACGGTTTATCTTGTTTTCTCATAAAGAGATCCATACTTGATCACCAAAAAATATTTAATTAAATTTCACATACTATTTCGAGGTAGAATTTGAACTCATTATCGCCTCAAATCTCAAGCCAAATTTTGTTATAACTAGTGGTAACCCTCTGGCTAGAATGCTGACAAACCGTATGAATTATGCAATAATCTATTCCTCCACTAGTCCCTGACCATGAATATATATATCCATCAACCCCTTCTAAAACCAATATTCTTCTTTCCTTTTTCAACCTATAACTAGTTAATCACCATCAGCACCACCACAAAAAAAAGGTGAATATGGAGTCTACAGCTGAATCCCAAGAAGCCCGTTTACCCTCATCCCCAGCACCTGAACCTCATTCCCAATATCATGATGAAACTAACCCAAGGCTTGAGAAGGTTCTAAATGACACCAATTTAGGCGACTTCAAGCGCCTCATGCTGGCATCCTGGATTGAACTTAAACTCCTCCTCCGCTTGGCTGCACCAGCAGTTATGGTTTACTTGATCAACAGCTCCATGTCCTTGTCCACAAGAATTTTAGCCGGCCATCTTGGCAATCTTGAGCTTGCTGCTGCCTCACTTGGCAATAGTGGTGTCCAACTCTTTGCCTATGGCCTCATGGTAATAAGCTGATCGATTGTGAAACTTTACGGTTTTGTAATTTCCTTATCTTACTGGTTTTGTGTCTTGATTTTGTAGTTAGGGATGGGGAGTGCAGTGGAAACTCTATGTGGTCAATCTTATGGAGCTCACCGATATGAAATGTTAGGCACCTATCTTCAAAGAGCAACTGTGGTGCTAACTCTAATTGGGATACCACTCACTGCAATCTATATTTTCTCAAAACCAATTTTGATCTTACTTGGTGAACCAACAGCAGTAGCATCAGCAGCAGCTGTCTTTGTTTATGGTCTAATACCACAAATTTTTGCTTATGCTGTGAATTTTCCTATACAAAAATTCCTTCAAGCACAAAGTATAGTGACCCCAAGTGCCATAATATCAGCAACTACACTTGTCTTTCACATACTGTTATCCTGGATTTTAATGTACAAGTTAAGATGGGGACTGATAGGAGCATCACTTGTTTTGAGCTTGTCATATTGGATTATAGTGGCTGCCCAATTTGCTTATGTAGTGATGAGTAGAAGGTGCAAGAAGACATGGAATGGCTTTACCTGCCAAGCTTTTGCTGGGCTTTGGGACTTTCTGAAATTATCTTCTGCATCCGCTGTAATGCTTTGCTTGGAGACATGGTATTTTCAGATATTAGTGTTGATTGCTGGCCTTCTCAAGAATCCTAAGCTTGCCTTGAACTCTCTTTCTGTGTGGTAAGCAACTGATATTTGATTCCGTCGCCTTCAAAATAATTTTGTTGATTTAAATTCAACTTGAAAAGTTAAATTTATAGGAAAACAAAAATTTATATGATAATTATATTATTATACGATTCAGTAAGAATAAATGTCAAGATCCGTCGGATAATAAGTTGGTTAATTATAAATAATTAACGTAGCAAAATAGATGAATTATAATAATTATATAAGCAAAAGCAAGATAGAAGAGGCTCTGATTTAAAGTCTAACTTTTGTTAAAAGCTCTAACAAAATTGAATTACACTAATTTAAAGAAAAATAATTATAAATAAACACGAATTGAGTAAAAATATACTTTTTTAACGAATGACCTATATATGAATTAAATTACTAGTACATGAAGATTTTTATTAGATTAGTGTATTACTCTAATTCGTAATTTGATTCAATAATAAAGTAATTAATATTGAAATATTATAACACTAAAAATAAGATTTAGTGACACTAGAGACCTTTGTCGCTGAACAAATAAATATAAGTAATATTAAAAATAAGGTTTAATCGACAAAATAAAATAATAAAGAAATAACTATAAATAATTTTACAAAATAAAATAATAAAGAAATAGCTATAAATAATTTTTTTTAAAGGAACATATAGATTAATTTAATATTGCCTGTTGAATCCTTCTTCTTAGGTATAAGAGATGAAGCGACCAAAAAAAAAAAAATTATTGACACATCAATTTTCAGTTTGAAGATTTTGAAAATTGTGTAGAGAATAAAATGAAAGAAAATAATCTATTTATTTGAAAGAAGGTCTTTAGTTTTGGCTATTAATTATTGGAAGTGTACAGTATTATGGTTTTTGGTAAATAAAAGGATGGAATATTTCTACTTTTCAAATTTTGGGTTTTTTAAACTATATACTGTTTTTTGTTATAGAAAATCCATATATTTTACCAGCTGGGAATTGTGATAAAAGCTTTATCACAATTATTAACTATATAGAATAAACGTACTATAAATACAATAATTTTTTATTTTTTATCAATCAATAAGATAGATTTTAATTTTTTTTTTTGATAAATCAATTTTTTTTTAAACTGCCAATCAAATACTTTTTTTTCATTAAATAATAATATAACCATTATTCTTAAAATATCAAATTATGATTTTGTCTTCATAACAATGATTGCAGGGTGATTGAGACAATCAATTTGGTTGCTGGTTTTTTGTCACCAAAGCCTTTGGTGACAGAAAATAGGGATTATGGCGACCAAATTAACATTGTCACCAAACACTTATTTCTGTAATGTATACAAAAATGATGATTTCATATTATCTTGTGCAGCATGTCAATAATGGGGTTGTTGTTCATGGTATCGGTGGGTTTCAATGCAGCTGCAAGGTTAATAATCCCTTTGTTTTATCTCTTAATTTCCATAATTATCACCAATATTACATTATATATATACATTAATTTCTATCTAATTATTTCCCTTGACATTTATTGAACAGCATAAGAATTAGCAACGAATTAGGAGCAGGAAATCCAAAATCAGCAGCATTTTCAGTTGTTATAGTGACTTCTGTTTCTTTCATAATTGCTGTAATAGAAGCTGGAGTTGTTCTTTCTCTACGCCACGTGATCAGCTACGCCTTCACCGGTGGTGAAATTGTAGCCAATGCAGTCTCAGAACTCTGCCCTTTACTGGCTATCACCCTCGTACTTAATGGGATTCAACCTGTCTTATCTGGTAAGCACTTTAATTTAATTTTAAAATTTTATACGTAAAATATACGTTAATTTTTTAATCTATTTTTTATCAAAGTTTTTAAATTTATCAAAATTATTTACATAATTTACACATAATTAATTTTTATTTTCAAAAATGGATCAAATTAAAAGTTTCTTATGTGCAAATCAAACGACCAATTAATTCTATCAATTATGTCTTAAATCCTGGCAGAATAATAGATTAAACACTTGATATATATTTAATGATAAAACAGTATCAATTATGGATATAAAAACAGAGATATTATTGTGTAAAGATAAATTAAGCGATTAACCTATAATTATATTAATAACATTAATTATGAACATTAGACGAGCAAAAATACAAGATCTAGCTTGTGATTGATATTGTCACCTAAAAGGCAAAGGATTAGTATCTAAAATTATTTTAGTAGGAGATTAGGTGAATGGAATTTGTTTTCTTGTTCTCTAATCCATGTGCAATCTGACCTATAGTTTGTCCAGACATTCGTCATCAAGGAATCAATCCTTGTGCAAACTGATCTATAGTTTGTTCGGACATTCATCAAGGAATCAATCCTTGTCTATCACGTGACAAAAAAATGGACAGAGCATTACAAGCCTAGACAAATTCTCTTAATTAATAATGGTTTCACGTGATCCTAGCTTGCTTATATTAATCAAGGATGAGCCTCACCTAATCAAATTATCATAAAATGCAATCACTACTTGATTTTGGTCATCCATGAGAAAACGATAGCATTAATTATTGCCCAGAAGAAATTTTTTTTATTTTTTTTACTTTTCACATAGATTAAAAGAATTATTAATTGCTATGTTATGTTAGTATTTTTGGTTCATATTATCTTAAATTTATATATATATATATATATATATATATATATATATATATATATATATATATATATATATATATATATATATATATATATTGTTAGTAATCAAAATAGATTATAATTACAGATGTTTTAGAAAGATAAACCATTTAAAATTTAGACCATATATATATTTTGAGATAAATATAGATAAAAAAACAGATAAATTAATGTTGAAACAGAAGGAGTTCTAGGAAAAGAATTATTAAAGAAAAGGCACTTCTTAATTTTATCCATGCATAATGAAGATTCTATCCTTATAATTACTATGTTTGTCAATCAATTGCACGTAATCAATTGTTTAAAAGAATTTATGGCAATTAGTATACTTTGTTGTCTACTTCCTCTCTGAAAATATTGAGATAACATTTTTTTTTTTTTCAAAAGAAACAAATAAAAATGTAACATATCCACATAATTAAATTATTAATGTTTTTAGCAAACTTGTTATGTTAGGGATCGTTTAGTATTATTTTCGTTTTCTATTTTTTTTTTTTTAGGTTTTAATTTTTTTATATATTTTTTTTAAAAAAAATAAAAATTATTTGGTTGGCTAATTGTTTATTTTATTTTATTTTTTTACCTCTTAACTTATGTATTCTAAACTATATATTATGAAATGTTGTTATACGATGAAGGTGTGGCCGTTGGGTGTGGATGGCAAGCATTTGTGGCATATGTGAATGTGGTGTGTTATTATGTGGTTGGAATTCCATTTGGTTGTCTTTTAGGGTTTAAGTTTGATCTTGGCGCAAAGGTAACACCTCTCATTCTCTTTTGATTCTCACTTTTCAGCTTAACAATACTCTTTCTTATAATATATGCATACATGCAATTTTATCTAATAGAACGTTTACCTCTATTATGTAATTTAGGTCATTTGGACCTCCCCAAAAAAATAATAATAATGATATGATGTATAAAAATAAAATGAAATATATTACTTGGTAATGAAACAAAATATTCAAAAAAAATTGAAGTGATGATGGTTTTTTGAAAATAAAAAGTCTAATTTAAACATTTATTTTTTGTGCAGGGAATATGGACTGGAATGATAGGAGGAACATTACTGCAAACCCTCATCTTGATTTGGGTAACATTTCGCACCGACTGGAATAAAGAGGTGAGTAAATAATTTGATGAATATATTACTGCAAATTAATTATAAAATTAATGTCTTGCTATATATCATTTTATGCAAGTAAGTAAAATGAATTGTATTGGATAAGGAAGTGGAAATTTTATTTTCTTGGTAATGAAACAAAATAAGTGATAATATCAAAAAAAAAAAAAAGAATAAATCATGCATATTCTCAATCAGCATCATTGTCATAAGATCCTCATGTTTTCTTGTCTTGTTCTAATAGTTTCAGCCGTTGACGATACAATGTAATAATGGCATAGATGCAGTGGGCTTTCATGAAGCAGTCATAATTGTTTAAAAAAATATTCTACGTTGAATAAATAAATAATTGATAAGTAATATGTAAAGTTAAAAAATATGACTTATAGTAAGACTTAAGTTTTTTTTTTATAAAATTTAATCTTAATTATCAAATTTAATATGATATTAGAATCTTAAAGATGTCGAATCTTTCAATAAAGATTTATTCTGAAACTCAAAATCTTTGACAAAAAACCAACTTAGCTCAGCAAATATCTTTGTGAAGTTGAAATCACTTGACAAAAAACTATCGCACGATCAAATAAATAAACAAATAATAAATGACAAAAATCAAATGCAATTGATGTTTCTTAGTTGATGTGAATCCAGCAATTTCGACAAACATTCGTGTCATGGCATGACTGTCAGAAACAATCATTTAAGTTCTTGGTGATGAAGCTCTTGCTTATATAGATGTTCCAATTTCAGGTGGAGAAGGCTAAGAGTCGTTTGGACAAATGGGAAGACAAGAAGGAACCACTTCTAAGATAGCGTTTGGTCCATGCAGCTGATCACCAATGAAACAGTTTTGTCTCAGTTCAGTCTCATCTCGTCCCATCCAATCCATCTACTCACCAAATTCATCGTAAAGAATAAGAAGGCTGCAACTCTACCTATGCCCTAGCATCATCGTGCTCATCCAAAAATTTCATTTCATTATGTTTACTAGAGGAAGAAACATTATTGCATAATTTGTCGCAGGAAAATCAGCCCATCTATGAATAAAAATGCCATCATTTATCAATCTGAGCTGAAATTTATCTTGGCTAAGATAGATTTACTTATTGATCCATTCGATTGGGAGATTTAACCATTTACCCATAGGATTTTTGTCTGACCATCTTGGTTTGTCAGACCATGAATGGCTCTGCCTGAACCTTACGAGCATGACCATCTTTACACAAAAGCAAAAGAATCTATCAAAATCAAATGTGTAAATTCTCTCATTTCATCATGTAAAGAGGTAGCATGAATAAATTGGGTCTGACACAGAACATATACAAGATGAACCAAAGCATTTCCTTCCTGGATATTATAGTTTTCTCTCGGAAGATTTCCCTTTTTTTTTCTTTTTTTTCTTTTTCTTTTTTAGGTGGGATGATCATGAACCTACAGTCCACTGTCCACCTCGGTCTCAAAGCAACTTTCAACCCTTTACCAGAGAACCAATGTTGCATGACGGCAAAAGAATCTAACTTTCAAAAAAAAAAAAAAATATACCAATGAAATGGACTGAGTTCCGGATGGACATTCAGGTTGTTTCTTTGCTGTTGGTCGTTGATGTCATAAAACAAAGTAAAACAGCATCAATCTAACTCCCCGTCATCTGGTTTGTCTCTGTGATCCGAATCATCTGTTCTCGGGAGAGATTTCATGATATATTTGCAAGTCCTGAAACATAAATATCCATGAGCTTCAGTGAAGAAACTAAAAACAGTAATAACATGTAAAAGATAACAAGCAACAGTCAAGATACAGAGAAGAAAACGCTACTTCTATAATATCATTTTGATGAAGGTGAAATCCTTAGAGAATGGATCTGCTAGCATATCCAATCTACATGCAATTATATTATTGAACGATATTTCAAATTCCATCAACAGATGTGTGTGGGTGTATTCATAAACCTATATGTGACAACAAGAGAAACCCAAAAACATTATCTCCATACACATCAAACCCACCCCCCATTACAGACCAAAATCTGCATTGTTTGGTTCACGAACCTCAGACCAGCAATTTGAGTGAAATATTACAAGGCAATTTAGCTAGAAGCTTTCAATCATCAGTTGGTGCACAACATTCTGCCATATATTTGGCCTTGTGATGATTTGACAAGATCAATCTTCAAAGCAGTGTCCACGAGAGATCAAATTAACAAGCAAAAATGTTCAATACATTATGCTATTTAGATATTGAATATAAACTACTTCTCTAAAACCAAGGACTCTGAAAGTAAACTAGATCTTTTGAGACTACTGCAGAGATAAATATTGCAAGTCAAAGGATATGAGAACAGTACGCATCAAAACCCTCAGCTTTTCTCTTGATTTCGCTTGACCACAGCACTGGTTCAACATTTGTTGGTAATGAGTCCTGCTGTTGAATTTTATCTTGCAGCCATCTTTCAGCCTTATTGCATTCATCTATAACCTGAAAAATAGAGAAATGTCAAAATTATAGATTCAGTAACCAATCACCAAATTATTTCCACTGCCACCCAATTACAGAGCAAGGATCATACCACGTCCCTCTCACCAGCTGCAAGTGACCCAGCATTCATCCGATAATCTGCAATACGACTTAGGAGATCTTTTCTTGCTTTTTCTCTGGCCTCCTCTCCTTTATATCGATTTTCAACAGGATCAACAAGCTATTAAATTTTTAAAACTCATCAGTTGTTTGCATCACGCAATAAGTTAAGATGAATCCCAAAGACAATACTAGTCAAAGTACCTTTCTAAGATCCTCTAACTTTTGGTTATAAATATTTTCTGATTCATCTGCTCCATCTTCATAAAGCCACTCCTCTGTCTTTTGGAGAGTTATAGAGATCTCATCCCTCTCTGTTTCGGTTGCAAAGCTGTGGTACTTACTGCAAATCTATTCATGTTACCGATTTAAGCCAACATGCAACTGAGGAAGGGGGATAGGTTTGAAGCAAACTCTAAAGGCTCAAAGCCAACTCAACTTAATTATGATCTAAGAAAGCATATCTAAGAATAAAGAATCCAGGAAAGAGGGAGAATAATTTAAAACGAAAATCGGTGCTTAACAATCTTTCATACAATGTCCTATTAAGTAGAGTTCTAGAGACAAATGAGAGCAAACACAAACAAGCAAGCAATTTCTGCATGTGTATACTCACCTCTACCCGAACAATATAACAGAAACGAGAACAAAACTATTGTGTGTGCATGCGCGTGCATGCTTGTATAAGAGAGAGGAGTATTAACCCCAGTAGGTACTTGTAACTATTGCCATAACTCTGACGTATCACAAGCGAAATAAAAGATTTAAAATGCATGTGTATATGAGTAAAAAGAAAATCCATCAAGTAGAAAAAGGAAATATCTGAATGCTCTTAAAGTAAAATCATAGAGGTCCACCGTGTGCATGCGTTAATAAAGCCAAGCCTAGATATGTGAAGCTCCAGAGGGCAAGCCTGAGCAATCTTTTGCCAAAAGCCTTACCTCAAAGCAAGCCTAATAGCATGCACCAAATTAACCTTTTAGTTCAAATTTTGTATAAAGAATGACAGAAAATGAAACAAGACATCGACACACAACATTTACATAGGTAAATCAACTTTATAGTGCATTCCAAGAAGGCATTGGACAGCCAAGATGGCATGGGTTCTGCAGATCAATTTAGAAGATGATAAGAAAAGGTTAACTCTGGGTAGACAGAGCCTGACAGGTATCTCTAAAATTTTTGAAGCTATACCTTATCTCGCATCTCGTAGACATAAGACTCCAAAGCATTTTTCTTGTCTTTTATGCGCTCCATCTTCAAGTCCTGTTGTGCCAACTGAAGCTCTTTCTTCTCAGCCTCTAATATCTCAGTCTTTGTCATTCCTCCATAGACTTCCTCGCTAACTGGAATTTCAAGCCTTTTGAAACTTTTTCCTTTCCTAACATCCTTCACAGAGAAGTGAATCCAACATCAATATTTTCCAGCCTGAAGCACTTGTTTTGAACTCATAATATCCTCAGTTTGTAGTAAGCAAAATCTAAATCATATGTCTGCCAAGAATATATGACAAAAGCAGTCCGAAAAAACAAAAGCAAAAATAAGGCATCATTTGTCAGTTTTTAATACAAAACTAGGCAATATATATCTGATTGCATCCAATACATCCCTACATATAAGCATAATCTCCAATATGTCTTCCTGTTAAAATTTTTCATCTAATCTAACGGACTTTGATGACTAATAAAGAAAGAATTGTTGACCAAGCTACCCTCATAAAATTTTGTCAGATGTGATTTTTTTAAAAACTTTCTGTTGTCTTTATTAAATAAATAAATTTATTTTTTTTTAACGTTTTGGAGTTAAACAGGTTTCATTTTTTGAAATAATTTCAAGTAAATAATTATTTTGTTACTCTGAAAAAAAATTAAATATTTAACAGTAATTATTATTTTATAAGATGGGTAAGGTGTGAATAGGTAAAGATGAATTTTGTCAAAAAAATCATTTTTCTAGAAGTTATGAGCAAGTCACATATAAAAAAATCCATTAGTTTGGATGGAAATTTTAACAAAAGGACCTTTGGAGATTATAATTATATATAAGGACAAATTGGCTACAGTCAAACATGTAAGGATATATTGGAGACAACTCCTGAAATATAAGAACATAGTGAGTTAATTCCCACTAAAACGAATATTAGAATAAAACGTCTTTATCTTTATCTTTTTTTTTTTTTTTTTAATTGCAATCTTTGTCTGATATGTTGACCCAAAAGAATAATAGCAAAATTAGAGTAAAAAATCAAGCACTCGATTGGTAAATGAATCAACATGTACCGCTGGTATGGATGAAGGTGCTGGATGTGCAACATCAGTAACTTCAGCACCATTTGGTAGGACAGAAGGTGAATGGTCAGATTTGGCCGCCATATTTTCTGAAGTAACATTCGTATCTTCAGCACCATCCTCAATTAGCTAATGCATTAGAGGATACTCATTTAGTAGTGGTGTTACTAAAAAAATCAACTGAGCTAAAATGCTTGAAGAATTTGTCAAGATACACTTACCATGAATGCCTCTAGGTTTACTATTCCATGGAGGTTTAACTGAACTCTAACCTTAACTTTCACCATTTCTGATTGATAAATTGGAAAAGGCCCAATCTGAGAAAGAATTAACACAAAATTTAAGCAAACAACGCAAAACGTAAATCATAACAGTAAGAACAAATTAAGTGTGGAAGATTTGCATATATCTGTTAAAAGAAGTATATCTTGATTGGTGCTCTGTATCTGTACCATAAAACTGCTGATTTGACATGCTATGCCAAAAGGCAGTTCATTTGGATCAGCATAGAAGGCTTCCATCAGAAACATATTATTTCTGTGAAGAGTAAGTATCTTAACACTTGGGAAAGCCTGGCCTGTCGGGAAAAGCACGCTATTTGACAGTGTGCGAATCGGAACTTTATCTGATGAGAATCCAATGGAGAAAGGAAATGAATCTTGAACCTGATAATGGCAACATTGACCAAATTACAATCATGATATAGGATATAGCACCATGCATATGAAAATAAACATCCCAGTGCATGCATTTGCACCTAATATATGACAATAAATGCATTTATCATCAAAACAGAGTAAACTGAAGAAAGAAATTGAACTTAAAAAGTTCCGATTACGGCCTAAAAAGAGAGAGAGGAGATAGTGATGGATGCTCATAAATGACAACCACCCACACAGCCAGGAGGGAAAAGGAATGAAGGAGTATTTGTCTGTAGTGGAGCACAAACCTGATATTCTCTAACTCGAAATGTTGGGCTAAGCATTGCACACTGAAGAGCGCAACCACGAGCCACACACTCGCTTGCATTTATTTTCCGGCCCGGCTCTCTCTTAAATAGAGAAGCCAACATTCTAGCAATTGCCGGTATCCTAGACCCAGAACCAACAAGCTCGACTGAATGAATCTTTTCCAAAGTCAGACCAGAGTCAGCCAGGACCTTGTGACAGGGAACACTAATCCTTTCCACCAAACCTGATGACAGCTTCTCAAACTCTTCCCTCTTAATAAAACCCCTAACATCTTTTTCATCCATCAAGCACTCTATATTAAGTGGTGCCTCTGCATTTGCACTCAGGACCTTCTTCAACTTTTCACATGAAGCCCTTAACCTAATGGATGCCTTGATATTAGTAGAAACATCAATGAAATATTGCTCCTTAAACTGTGCTGCAAAATAACTGAAAAGAATCTCATCAAAGTCTGTCCCTCCCAGGTTCCTGTCAAATGCATGTGATAATATCTTCATTTGTCCACTCTCAAAAGATGCCAGACAGACCTGTGTGTCACAATGACCGATATCAACAAATACAACATAAGTTGGGCCTTCATTGGAGAAATCATCTTTGTAAATGCCATACCCAAGTGCAGTTGCAGTACAGTCATGCATCAACTGCAAAGGTTGCAGTCCAGCAATTGCAGCTGCATCCAAATAAGCACGTCTTTGCAAATCCGTGAAGTATGATGGAATACCAATAACACAATCAGAAATGGGACTCTCATGACTCTTCTCAGCTATTTGTTTCAAATGAGAAAACAACATCCCCAAAATCTGAACTGGACTGAACTCATGAATCTCACCCAAATACTGCAACTTAATCAAAGCACCACCATCGTGACCCTCTACAATCTCAAAAGGAAACAATCTAAGATCATTTTGAACCTCAAGTTCTTTGAACTTCCTCCCAATCAATCTCTTAACCTCAGAAACTGTTGATTTAGGATTCATAATTAGAGAAGCAGCTCCCTCTGAACCCATAAATCTCTGCTTCTCACAAAACGATACCACAGCTGGTGTCTCACGGTTCGATTCATCATTCAATAAAACATCAATCCTACGTTGTTTTGCCACCCCAATCACACAATTCTCGTTCCCAATATCAAATCCCACCACACTCATATTCACTAAACCTCACAAACTTCGCACCAAAAAAATTAAGAACCTAAACCCACATCTCTTCAACTGTCTTACTTATCACTAAATCACAAATTACAAAACACCCATCTTAAATTCTCAGCTTTTGCTGCTCTGAAGCTTAAATTATCTGCATTGAAGCATAAAACAATCATGGGAATCACAACTTTGCCCCTGTGAAGCTTAAATTCTCTGCATTATAGCATAAAACTTTCAACTTTTCCACGTTGAAGCTTAAATTCTCTACATTTAAGCATAACCCACCTAAAAGATCAATTCATTTTAACAAATACAATCAATGAATTGACCATAAAATCTCAATTAAAAGCTTTAAAAGATCAACAAAAACAATAAATAATTAAGCTAAAAATCCATTCTTTTCTGAACTAAGCAACTAAAAATCACTGTTACATCATAGTATGCAACACTTTGCGTCAAAAGTAATTTAAAAGATAAATTTAAAGAAAAAATTCGTTCATTTTCCTGCACTTTCTCAGCAACCAAACAGAAACTAACAGAGACTGAAATAATCAAGTACCCGGAATTGGAAAGATGAAACTGTAGAGAAATTGTGGAAGAAACTGTTTGTCTTTTTGTCTCCTGAGCTTAAGATCGCTTCTTTACAAAGTTTACAGAAAAAGCATGAGTGACGTGTCATTCGTACTGTGTAGATTTCTCTCTATTTCCTTTCTTGCCTAATTTGGTGCGCTCCTCGTCTGAACTTTCAGCGTACAAAAACTTAGTCCCTGAAGTCTTAAAATATCTGAAATTGATCTCTTACTCTTTCCTATTTTTATATTAGCACTGAGAAATTGTATTGTAAATTTATTTTCCCAAATCATTTATAGTCTAGAACAATATTTCATGTAATAAACATAGATTCCATAATATTTTTTCTGTGTGTTGTATCCACTGTATATGTCTATAGTTTCATTTTTTTTTCACTGTCCATTTTTATAATAAAATGGCAATGAAATATATTTATAAGAAAAATCAATTTTACCCGTAAAGTTTATGAAATATGTCAATAATACTTGAAAGTATAAAAAATAAAAAAAGTTAACAATTTGATAAAATATATATATATATATATATATATATATTATTAATAAATAAGGGGCTTGTTGTGATTACTTTAAGGCAGTACAATTATAGTGCATTCAAATTTACGAAATAAATACGAATGCTCGATTTTTTATTTTTTTAACTGCCCACTCTGGAAATACTTTCATTTATTTGAATTTCAAATAGTTTTATTTATGTGAATTTTAAATTTTACGTAGGACGATACTGAAATGGATTGGATTTATTTCAGTTGGGTCAATTCTCTCAATTTCTTTTTTTTTTTTTTAATATGGAAATAGAGCTTAGGCCCAACCCAATCGTTAAGGTTCATAAGCCCATGAACATGAAGTGACCCATGTCAAATACCCACCAATGAAAAAGAAGGGCATATGATGTGGGCCCAAATTGCGTAAAGATGCTGCCAAAGATAAGTCATTGTAATGCTTCCCCAAGCTCAAACTTGACTTGATTGGTTCATTTGAAATTTTATTATTATTATTATTATTATTTTGTATTTTTCAATTAAACACATTTCGGTCAAAAAAATTATGTAGTTGAAAAAATTAATCGAAACCACAAATTAAACATTTCAAATATTTTCAAAAATAAATTAAATATAATTAAAACATTTAAAAACACTTTGAATATTATACAAAGACATGTCAGTATGTTTATCCCTATTCAAAACTTTTTTTATTTTTTGCTAAGACGAGAAAAACGAAAAGCATGCATGTGTAACATGATGAATCAAGGACGTGACAATGACCACACAATCAATGGCAAGAAAAATGCACAAAACATTGACTATATTAGTTGGTTGGTAGTCTGATTTGATCACGAGGGCCTAACGTGACCCCAACCTGTTGATAAAGAGAAGCCGTTTGTGCCATGACTTCATGAAGCCAATAGCAATTTTCATGTCTCACATGCATAGGTTTTTTAGGTTAGGTAGATAAAATTATAGTCAATTTTATTAGAGTATGTTTTTCTTAGTTGATGCAATCAGAATCCTTAACCAAAGATTACAACTTTTGAGGGTGTGGACTGGAAATGATATTTTGGAAAATCAATGTGGATCCATCCACTGGCAAATATTGATTGTGCCAACTGGACCAGATGGGATGGTTTGGTTAGGCTGAGGATGCCCCAGCTTCCAATCAATTAATAAGAGAGTAAGGGACAGAGAGGACAGTACGGCATGAATGGGAAGGTTCCTAGAGGATTTGGGTTCCCACTACTTTTGAAACGTATCCAATGACTAGATTTGACATTGTTAGGCTAAAAATGGAGCAGCGAGATTCAGCTTTTGGAGGGGTCGAAAATCTCCTGATTAGGCTAATCAAGCATAGAAAATGTGCTAGCGTGTTTTGTTAATCCAAAGATAATTGCTGTTTTCTCACATGACATGGCATCGATTGATTGATAAAAAATATCAAAATTATCTCATTTAAAAATTTCATTATTTGAATATATGATTTATATTATTTTTTAAAATATTTTTTTAAATAAAAGTTTTTTGAATTTGAAATTTAAACAAACTCATGCTACATAATACATAATTAATTATGAGAGAAATGAGAGTGATGTAATTCAAACTATTCATATAGAAAAATATGTTAGTTAATTAGTTTTTTTCTTTTTAATGATTTAAGTATCGTTAAATCAGATTTTCATATACTTAAATCAAATCTTTTATCTATTACATTATACTAACGAGAAGCTTTTTCTTCAATTCAAATTTAAAATGATAATATATATAATAAACAAATTCATTTATTGTCTAAATCAAACATCTAACAAGTGTTTTTTTTTTTTTTTTTTTTACATTCAAAGATCAATCACTGGGAAAGAAAATGATTAAAGAGAATTATTTAATTAGTTAGATAGATGTAAGTGGCTATTTTTGTGCCTTTTGCCCTCTTCAAATTAAAGGAAAACACATTGTACTTTGCATACAATATTTATAGATTTTGAGTACCATCTTGGCTTGAATTGTTCAAGTTTATGCCAAAGTGCATTAATTATTCAATAGCTTGAATTGCCAATAAATTTAACAACATAGTATGGAAGAGTGGTGGGTTGACAGAAACTAGAAAAATGAACCAGCAAGTTGTAGTATTTCTTACTCTCCTTCCTTATGAGGAACTAATATTTAGACATACATATATATCTTCAATTTCAAGTTTTCCTATGAAAAAGGCAGAATCCCCATGAAAATAAAGTGCAAAATAGCCATGTTTCTAACCATAATATTGTTGCACGCAAGTATTGATTTCCAATAGCACCCTGTGACAAGCAAAAAAGGTTAAAACTGAAGAAAACTTGAAAGCTAATTTCAAGCCTTGAAGGCCAAGATGGGAGGAAGACTAGCGATGGCCTCTCCATTGCCAAACAAGCGCTTCCATTGACTAGTAACTTGCTTATAGACTCTAACTCTTGCAGAAGAAATAGACAACAACATGCCCTTCCTCAACTTCTTCAGTTTCTTGCCAATCTTGATCTTCAACCTACACAATCTGAGTCTCAAAAAGGATGGCCTTCTTCTAGGAGAATCTGCTTGTTGCAGTGCCTTGTAGATCAAGAATTGTGCTCTTCTATGCATTACCTCTTCGGGGTCTTCTTTATCCAGCTTTGAGTAGCCGTATGACGATCTCCTCACTGGATTACTCATTCTCTCTAGAAAAAAAAAATCGTAACTGTGAGGAAATGAAAGGCTAGAGAGAGTTAAAGAATGAAGCAGTGCAAGTTGCAGTAATATATGGAAAAGAAGAAGTATATTTATAGGGTATTGAAAAGAAGAGGCTATTGGTGTAGTGTGTGACTTATGTGGGGGCAAGTTGGAGGAGGTAATGGTGATGAAACAGTGCATGTGCACTAATGTTTGGTAGAAAAATAATGGGAAAGTTGGCCAGCTCACATCAACCTTTGAAAACTATTACATTAGTTTATTAATTTCGCTAGCTATCCGTTATGACAAGTTTTCAATGCAGGCTGCTTCCAAAATTCTTCCAAAATTAATATTGGTTCAGGCCAGGATGAACAATTTAGCTAGCAGAAGCAAGTGATGAATAGCCAAGTTGGGGATTGATGTAAAGTATTTGAAAGCGGAAAACCAGGGGAGTATCATATTGGGATCAATGATTTGAGCCATTAAGACTTGGATTAGATGTTGTTAGGGAAAGGAAGATGGCTAACTAAGCATGCAAGATTACAATATTATGTACACCATGTGGGTGATTAAACATGCTGGATGAGGTCATGAATTTGATAGGTATATATGGATGAACTAGTAGAGGACTACTTATTTGCCCTTAATCATGATCATTTTACAATTAATTAATATTATCCTCCATTTAATTTTGTTTATCCATATAATGTTCCGTGCCTAAATTCCTAATAATATAGCAAAAGTTAGAAACCATAAAAATGTTAGAGAATGAATCAAGCAAAACAATAAAGTAGAAAGATAAAAATAAGCACACAACACATAGATCTATGCGATTCGATAATTATGTCTACTCTATGGTTGCATTACGATTTCTTATTAAGTTTTATTAAGTGATGTTGTTTTTATTTACAATATGGACAACCAAGGTTATTTTTTTTTAAAAAAAAAGTCTAATGAGCCTATACACCTGATTCAATATTCTATAGATCTTTCAAAGAACTCTATCCTTGAGTCCCCGCAGGGGACCGTGTTCCCTTAACCACCTCCCCTCGCTAACCTGCTAACAAGATCGCCATGCTTGTATATAGCGCCTTATACTATGGGTGTCTATCCATATCAATCTCCATAACTTAACAAAGACGTAATTCGTCGGTATACTTTCGGATCTCATATTTATAGAGTCTTAGGTTCAACACTTTTCAAATCTGTTTTTAACATGTGAGTGTAGAGTATTATACATTTTAAGATTTACGAGTCATGATCTGTCCTTTAAAATTAATTAAGATCGAATTAGTTTTTCAATTATCAAATGAAAAAAAACGGTAAAAATGAAAATTTTAACTATGCAAATAGATATTAATAAAAAAATTTATACTAATAAAACTGTTAAGTCCTACAGTAATCATCTATTAGGTGGACTGTACATTCACAAATCAAAGTAGAATCTATATATAAAATGGAATCCATCATAAATCTATTTAATAACCATAAATAATTTTCTATTTATATTATTGAAGCAGAGCAGAATTATTGGCATTCTATATTCAAATTAATAGAGCAAGCTGCATAAGTCACACATCGGCTGAGTATAAAACTCTACTTGATATCATGCAATTTTATTTTATTTCTTGTGCTCTAAAGTCAAAAGGGGGAAACATGCCTTGTGTAAAATAGACCAAATTTCCACCGGCATGAAGCATCTATGACACAAAAAATAAAATAAAATCTTGTGTCAACCAAGACCAAGTGACTGAGGGGACAAACGCATGCCCATACGTATTGGCTTTCCATTTTCTGGCCAGGAAACATTTCGTTAGGTCAACTTGCGTACTGCAGTAACCGCCTCTTCATCACTATTTTTGTTCCTAATTTTGTATGTATCAACTTACACCGATGATAAGAAGGTTAGTTCGAGAGTTTACATATTGAGATTAGTGTTAAGAAAAATTTATTACTCAAAATATATTAGAATGAAGTTGGAAGGTGCATTCTTAAAATTGTTTGACGAACAGATTTAACGTGGATGATGCATTCTTATTCTTAAAATTATTAGATGAATAGATTTAGTACTGATGGTACATTCTTAAAATTTTTTGATGAATTTATATTCTTAATATTGTTTGATAAGAATATTTAATATCGATAATAAATTCTTAAAATTATTCAAATTTAGGATAATAATATTTTTAAAAAAATTGTTGAACGAACAGATTTAATATCGATCGATGTGCAAACTAATCTAAATGAAAGATGAACTAGAATTTGGTCAAATTTTTTTTTTTTTTAACAAGCATCTTCTCTAGTAGGGTTTCAAGGGGGAAAAAAAAAAGAGTTAAGTTTTGGTGGATTTAATTAAGATTAGTTTGATAAATGATCACATCATGTCCTTTGAGTACTGCCAAAACAACATAGTATTGAGGAAGGATAATTACAAGACTAAAGTATTCATTCTTAACGTTGAAGTGACATGTCTGAAAAAGGTTCTATAGAGTGGCTTAATGTGTATAGCCTGCAAATGCTATCCTAAATGGCAAACTCCAAACGCAACCTTTGTTTACTCGAAGGCCTTTCCTTACATAATCAGTTTTTGGGACAAGAAAAAAGCATACTTAAAATCTTTTGAGACAAGAAAAAAGATCAACTTTTTGTTCACTTAAAAAAGACCTTTCCTTACATAATTAGTTTTTGACACAAGAAAACGTGAGGGATTGGTCTTAAGCACATGAAAACGTACAGGATTGGTCTTAAGCACATGAAGACGTGAAGGATGACCAGCTCACCGGGCTGCAATACTCAAAAACAAGAATCGAAGCACGTAAACTTTCAATACAAAAATCCATTATCAAGCATATGCAACACTCGTGGTTATCAAAGGTCTTCCTCTGTTACCATCCACTGGTAAATGGCACTCGTAAATGGCCAAAATAAACGAGTGGAAGAAAGAAAAGACAGCCGTAACCTATGCTTCTCCTATGTCAATCAAGTGATGCTAAGAAGCTTACTTCTGGTACTGCCAGCAACAAGCTTCAGCGTGGTTCGTATAAATTACGGATATGAACCAGTCAGGTAAGTAAACATGATTCTTTGCCAAAAAAAAAAAAAAAGCATATACATTACACTATTCACGTCTTGCAAGGTACACCCAATGTATAGACATGGCCACTTGATGGAGAAGAAGGAACAAGAAAACACTAATCCTTTATTCTTTTACAGTCTATGATACAATAGGCGTCGAGTATGATTACAAGGTGCACATCATTCATAACTTATGAGTTTCTGTGGGACTGCAACTCAACTTTTTAAGGGGTGGATATACAGGGTGAACTTACAGAGTTCTAAAGTAGCAAACTTGATGACCAAAAAAGATCAGAATTTTGTTAATTAGCCGTAGTGTTTGCTTAACCCACTGATCCCTCAAGCTTTAAGCTCATCAGTTGGTTCACCTCAGCACCAAATTCATCAGGAAGTTCATTGAAGACATCTCGGCAAAACCCAGAAATCATGGCTGCCATTGCTTTTTCATAGTCGATTCCCCTTTGCTGAAAGTAAAATAGCTGATCTTCACCAATCTTGGAGGTGCTGGCTTCATGTTCAACACGAGCAGTGGGATTCTTCACCTGTTAAACCATAGAGATCAAACTATTAAGCAACAACATAGAATGGCATGAAAAGTAACAATTTCTAGACATAGCTTGTCAAGGAAAGGATGCTCCGCATATGCAACACGGTTCAAGAAAACAACATAAAAAAAATTAAATTGACAGGTAGCCAATTCATGTTAGGATATAACCGTTACCGTCTCAAGCAATCCAATCTAAAATCAAGAGAGTTCTTATTTTCGTTGACTATTGTTAAGAATCAAAGCTAAGGTAACAGATTTTAAAAGGAGCTCCGCACATGCAACGAAAATGGAAACCTCCAACATTTACATGTCGAATATTGGGAACAGCTCTGTACTGCTCCATTTCCAAAGCCTTGTGGATGGACTATTAACACATGGGCAGCAGGATCCCATGGTAGACCACAAGCAACGGCTTCTCAGCCCACGGCTTTCCAAAATATTATATACAATGACAGAAGCAGCAACAATATACTAAAAAAGCACTAGGCTGCGCCATTCTCAAATGATAAAGTCACGAAACCAGCCGCTCCATCATGGAGAAGAGAAGAAGGGGCAACCATAGGATTGTCCCCTTCAGTCTATGGTGAATCCAGCCAATGGGGGGTTTTTTAGCAGCCCATCCCACTATGCTTAAGGCCCAGTTGGGCTGTAAGCAGGTAAATGAGAATTAAATGATCTTTTTCAAATAGGAAGGGCAAAATCCCCATCATACAAGAGCTACAAATATATTCTACTTGAGTCAAAGAGAAACAAGCCATGGCATCGTTGCATGCATATTCATGAAAAGTTAACAGAGTAAATAAATATATAGACATTGGGTTAGTGGTAGTGGTGTTTATTAAAAATGTATATTTAGAAAATCTCAGCTCAGATTATAGAAGACGATTTAATGCAATTTAAGTACAACAAAAAAATAAATAAATGATCTCTTTGAAAACAATGTTCATACACTAAATAGTTTGCTGGAAGACTCCAGTATCACAGTCAATAGAAAAAGATATACCACACGATCTGATTTACTATCAAACTTTTTGAAACTTAATTCCAAATATTAAGGTTTCCACCAATTGATATGAGTTATCCACAGGAACCGACATTCTTGGTTTTATGAATGTTTCATGTTTGGTGGACATTTCATCTGTTTGTCATGCATCCAATTTATGCAACTTCAATTTTCCAAGCCAAGTTTCATAATTATCCATAAAGAATCACAGTTAGCATGCACCACAAATGATGGTGCAAGAAAAAGAGTAAGCAAAACCAAAGACACTGAGGAGATGAATACATAACAAAGGAAGGTGAGAAATTGAAGCGTAGCTCCTAATAATGTTCACTGGGGTATCTGACTGCCAATCCAGACCTATTGAACAGGTTAAATGCTATGGTAACATAAGAATTTCAGTTATTACTTTGCCATTAATGATATTTTCCTTGTGTTTTTCCTATATACCTCCCCACAAGCTCACTCTCAGTTGTGGGAGAACTTCAACCTGCAAATGTTATTAGGGTATTATTTGCACTATATTTCTTGTTTATCAACATAGAGCAACCCTTGTCATGCGAACAGCTTAAGAATAATCGGGGAATAGGATTCAATTTACAAAAAGCAATGATCTTTAGTCAAGACATTATGAATCTGTTGCTTCTTAACCACCAAGTAGGTATTTAAACTATATTTTTTGTTATCAACAAAAAAAAAAAAAAAAACCCTTGCCAGATAAGCAGCTTATTACAAGAACAGAATCAGAAAACAGGATTCAGCTATGCCATACCAAAATTAATGCTCATTTACAGCCATCACAATATCGCTGTCTTGCATCAACTAATAGTTAATTTCATTTATTAAAGAAAATTACCTGAATATAAGGATAGGTGTTGGCAGCTGCAGTGTCACCAATAAGCATTGAGTCACATTGTGAGGAGTTTCGAGCATTGTCTGCCTTTGACTGAATCTGAACCAGTCCTCTATAACAGTTTCTAGAATGCCCAACAGAAATACCCTTTGAAATAATTCGACTTCTAGTATTCGTACCCTTATGAATCATCTTCGTTCCCGTATCTGCCTGCTGATAATTATTTGTCAACGCAACAGAATAGAACTCTCCCACAGTATCATTCCCCTCCAAAACAACACTGGGGTACTTCCAGGTGATGGCAGACCCTGTCTCCACTTGAGTCCAAGATATCTTAGACCTATCCCCTGCACAAATTCCTCTCTTTGTAACAAAATTATAAATCCCACCATTTCCTTTCTCATCGCCAGCATACCAATTCTGCACCGTGGAGTACTTAATCTCCGCACCCTCAGCACAATACAACTCAACAACAGCAGCATGAAGCTGATTTTTATCGTACGAAGGTGCAGTACACCCCTCCAAATACTCCACAAAACTCCTATCATCAGCAACAATCAAAGTCCTCTCAAACTGTCCAGTCTCCATCGCATTAATCCTAAAATAAGTAGAAATCTGCATCGGACACTTGGTGTCTTTCGGTATATAGCAGAATGACCCATCACTAAAGACAGCAGCATTCAAAGCAGCATAATAATTATCCCCACTAGGCACAACGCTCCCCAAATACTTCCTAACTAAATCAGGATACTTCTGTATCGCCTCTGAAATTGAACAAAATATAACACCAGCCTTCTCTAAAGTCTTCCTATGAGTAGTAGCTATAGAAACACTATCAAGAACAGCATCGACAGCAACATTAGCCAATCTATTCCTTTCCGTCAAAGGAACCCCCAATCTATCAAAATACTTAATAAGTTCGGGGTCAGCTTCCTCTAAACTATTCAAAGTAGGTTTCTTTTTAGGAGCAGAATAATAACAAATATCTTGAAAATCAATAACAGGGTATTCATTATCAGACCATTTAGGTTCTTTCAGTTTCATAAACCTCTCAAAAGCATTCAACCTAAACTCAAGCATCCAATCAGGTTCTTCTTTAACTGAAGAAATTAACCTTATTGTTTCCTTTGAAAGACCTTTAGGAATTGAAAACGAATCAATATCCATTGTAAAGCCAAACTTCTTCTTGTAATCACGATTTCTTAAAATCTCTCTAATCTTATCATCAGAACTAGTAGAAGAAGTACTGATTGTCTCTGAATTACCTGGAACGGTCTTCACTGTCTTGGATTCAAACCCAACATCAGCACGGATCTTGAAAGGATTCGATTTTGAAGGCTTAAAAAAGATGGGGTTTATCTGAAAAGAAAAGGGTTTGTTCAATTTTGGTGAATCTTTAATGGGCTTTGGAGAAAAGTGAGAGATAGTGTTCGATAACAGAGAAGCCATGGTTGTGGACTTGTGGTTTGTGGTCGACAAGAAGAGAGGAGGAGAAAAAGAAGCTAAGTTACTCCAGAAAAATAAGTTGTTTCTGGTAAATTCCTATTATCTGTTAGCCATAAGTTTTAACGATCGACTCGTGTCTCACACACGTACTCATCGAAGTGGCTAAAGGCCAAAGCTGTTCTGTCTTTGACCATATTGTTCTTCCGGTACTCCCTCCCTTTTTATTGGATTATCTATTTTTCCATCTATATCATTTCTAAAATATTTATTTAATTACAATTTTAAGTAGTTTATTTAAAAATATTTTTTTAAATTAAAATTTATTTTTATAAATAGTTGTTTAAATATAATTTTCAAAAAAAATATTTTCAGAAAGAAAGAACAAAGATGTCGATTCATTCAACAATTAATAATCTTTTTAATTTATATAAAAAAATCAACGAGATTAATCTTTTCGAGACAAAGAAAATACAAAACAAAATTTTTATACCAAAGCATTTAATAATTATTTTTTAATAAATAAAAAACATGGTAAAATTTTACGTTGAAATTTATTTAGAGACTGATGATACAATTTGGTTTCAAAAGTAAGCATCCTGACAAATCTTAAATTAACGTAAAGAATATCAAGAATAATGTATCACTTTTATATCATTTTTTTCTATATCTAATTGTTTTTAAAAATAAACAGTTTCACTTTCGAATAAAAAAAAACTTATCACCAGGATATAGTAATCTAATAGGATCCAATAATTTTAGCAGAAGAAATTCAAGATTATTTTGATTGAGGTATTTAGTTTTCTTTTTTAAAAAATAAAATGAAAAATAATTTTGGAGACACAAAAAGTAAAAAATCAATGAAAACAATTTTTTTAGACATAAAAAGTACAAAACAAACTTTTCATACCAAAACATATCATAATAACTTTTTAATAAATAAAACTAATTTACTACGTAAAAAATTAACGAAAACAAACTTTTTAAAATAAAAAAGATAAAAAAAAAAAAGAAACAAAGAAAATTCATACCAATCTAATTTTTATAGAAGGTTTTCTTAACTATTTCTATCTTACCGATTACATCATTCTTCCTTCTACAAATCTTTTTCTATTTTTTCCGAACAAGAATTCTAACAATATTTAGTTACCGAATAATTTAAAAAACTATATGTGTTAATTTTTAGAGAAAATGATCGGATATATAAAATTGTAAAAAAACATCAATGAAAAAATTTTTTGTGACAAATCAATGAAACTAAAAAGTACAAAACAATTTTTTAAATCAATGAAAATAATTTTTATGAAACTAGAAAGTCAGAATAAATTTCGAGACACAAAAAGTAAAAAATCAATGAATGAATACAATTTTTGTGAGACATAAAAAGTATGTATATATATATATATATATATATTCATTATCTCTTAAGAATAACAATTACAGGAAGTCCTGCAATCCGAATAAGAGCAACATTATTCTTACAATTGTACAATTTTTTTTATAATTTTATAATTCAATTAATATAAGTATTTTCAAATTTGAAGTGATTAATTTCTTCTTTTCAATGTAAAAAAAAGAAAATCATACAATTTTTAGTATGGTTTATTTGTTTATAGAACATTTTTTTTAACTATTACGTATTTTATCTATTAAGTCATTCTTCTTTTTACAAATCTAATTTTTTTTTTTCCAAACAAGGATTCTAACAAGATTTAGTTACCAAATAATTTCGAAAACTACAAATATTAATTTTTAGAAAGAATGATCAGATATATCTTTATTTTTTTTCTAAAATCTATTTATTTAAATTTTGTTTTGAAATAGAAGGATGGGATTAAGACATAAAAAAAAAAAATACAAGTTAACACTGTTAATTTAAAAATTAATATAGAGATGAGATTAAAATAAAAACCAAATATAGAGAGATGAACAAAAAAACGAAAAATAAGTAGAAGAATACGATAAAGACAAAAGAAAAGTAGACAAACCTCTTCAATCATTATTATCATTATTTTCTCATATTTAAAATTTGTTTTGAAAAAAACAAGATCAAGACATAAAAATAAAATAGAGGGATGGGATTAAGACATAAAAAATAAAATTTAGTATCATTGGTTTAAAAATTAAAAAAATAACATGATTAAAATAAAAACTAAATCGTAGAGAAATAAACTTAAATCCAAACAAAAAATAGAAGATTAGGATAAAGATAAAGAACAATGATTTTTTTAAAAAAACCATATTTAGCTAAATTGGGCCAAATCCACAAAATCTAATAGTGGTCCAATCTTTGCTCCGTATAAGGCAAGCTATTTAAAAGCCCACTAAAAGAGTCTAAAACGAACAGCACAGAACCAACTCCACCCTTCACCTGCACTTTTTGCCTTCTTCTCATATATATTTTCCCAGAAGCCAAACGAAGCCACCAGCGCCAAACGAGAAAACAGCAACACCCCATTGACGGACTCTTTGGCTTTCTTGATTGGTTTTACAGACGCCCTTTTGGCTTTTCTACTGATTCAAGGCTTTCTCTTACATTGAGACGTAAGTTTTTGTAACATTCGTTGTTTTTGGTTCTCGATTTATTGGCGTTGTTAGTGCAAGCGATTAACAATGTCGATGGCCAGTGAAATTTTTTCAGTGTTTTTGTGTGAGACTTTGAAAAAGAACGAAGATTGAAAATTTACGTTTTTTTTAGGGGGTTAGCATCATGGTGGGTGAGCTATGATTTTCTTCTTTTCTCGATTGATTGTGATTGTTAATGCAAAGCAACATGTGGTTTAGATTTTGGGAAAAAAAATTGTATATGAGAGAATCTATGAAAGGGTCTGCCTTATTTGTTTTGATTCTGTGTCATTGCCATCCAAGTCTGGTTCTTGTTGGCTGTGTATGTGATTTCAGTGATCTATCTGATTGAAATGGAGCTTAACTGGGAACAACTAATTCAGTAATCCTAGTGTGTGTACACTCTCATCTCGAATTCATGTGGGGACCACATGCTGTACTCGATGGTGGGCCCCACATGACGCTAGACTGGGTGTACATGTACCAGGAGTATTGAATAGTTCTCCTGGTGTTTGATTAGTATTGTCGGATTTGGCTTTCACAAGCTATATAGAAAGCATTTAACAAATTTTTGTTCCTGATTTTGATTTATTTAATATTGTTATGTGATAAGAGTATATCTATGTCTAGGTTTACAGGGCATGAGATATAAGCGTAGATCATAAAAATCTCTACCAATTTGAAAATGGAGATCAAAATAGCAGTGAGAAAACGAGGAAGTCTTGTCAATTCTTGTTGAGGTCATAACAAAACATTAAGGATTTTTTATTTCTAGAACTTGTGATGTGTGAATTTTTCCATCACAAAATCTTGTCTCATGCGAGCACAAAAATGTGAATGCATGTGTGCGTGCATGCATAGATTTGAATCCTTAACCCCTTCCCAAGTATTAGATCTTAGTGCGAGTTGGCAAAGTTGTTAGGTTGGGGAATGAAAATGTATAAGTTTTCTTTTTTCATATTTATTGACTAAGCAATATCAGATTTAGAATAGATTTATGCTTTTGCTCTGCTCCACTCCCTTCCTGTCTTTCACAGAGTAATTTATATAGGAAAAATATGGACTTGGCTGTTTCTTTTCAGCATGGCTTCCATTAAAGAAAAAAGAAAAACAAGAATCTTTCCAAACATATGGGAAGAAAGAGGTTGAGGATCAATAAACTGAAGCCTAGTCCAAGAGGAAGGCTTAATGCAATATATCCACTTGTAGGCTTCTGATATGTATCGTCTTATACTGTGCAGACCAGAGAATGTTCAAATATTCTGGTAGATTGATAGAACCTAATTATTCCATGTTATTGTTATGATGGTAACCTAACAGAACTATGCCAGGAATAGTGTATCATCGATCAGTTTCTGTTTCTAATAGACTAGTTGTTATTTTACTCTTTAACTGGTGATTTAACATGGAATAGGATGGATAAAAAGTTTATGATCTTGTCTGCAGGAGAAAATTTTCAAAGACTTGTGTAAATTCAGTCGTCTTGTCAACTGTGCAAGATGAACCCTCTGAGTCAGGGGACTAGCTCTTCTCCAGTAGATCCTCCTATGAAACGAAAACGTGGCCGTCCGCGCAAGGATGAGAGCCTGGTATCAGGAGAGAAAACACCAGTAATTCCTGAATCTGGCAATATGAAGAAAAACAAACAGACTGTAGGAACAACTGGTGCTGCTAGTGTTAATATGGTGGGTCAGGTGATTACTGGTGTTATTGATGGTTTATTTGATGCTGGATATCTTATTAAAGTTAAGGTAGGGGACTCTGACACTCCTCTGAGGGGTCTTGTATTTCTACCTGGCCGATTCACTCCCATCACTGCTGCAAATGATGTAGCTCCACATGCAAAGATGCATAGAAGAGCAGATATTCCCATTGCAGTTTCACATCCTCCAACTCAGCTGCCTAGTTTTGTTGCTTCGCCAGAGCAAAGTGACAAGCAACCAGTTGAGTTTAAAAAGCTCACACCGGCTGTTCAGGACAAAGGGCTGCAATCTGGGTTTCAACCAACTGTTCCAATTGCAAAGGAGAGCCTATCTGCTTCTCAGATGCTGCCTCTTACTGAATGCTTGCAGAGTAGCACAGGACCTTCCTTCGGAGGGAAAGCCATGCCTCACCAAGTTTTAGGTTCAGGACATGAGAACCAATCTGTCCCTGCTATGGCAGAGATGGGGCATAATAATATTGCCGGACATCATGATTTGCTACAGGAATTCGAAGCCTCCTTAAGAAAAGGCCCTAATTTAAATGTAAAGGCAAATGAACAATCAAAATCAGTGTCACTGCCTTCACTAGCTGCTGATATTTTGCCAGGTAGTGGCATTCAACAGCAGCCCTCTGGTGATGACCTTAAGCTGAATCAACCGGCCCATGATGGAGTGAAAAGCCCTACTCCTATCATGGAAAAACAGGCTTCTCCAAAAATTGCTGCACCTTCAGAGCCTGCTATAAAGATTTTCAGTGGAGATGATACATCCCATCTTAATGGTAGTCCTATAGATCATGCTGCTAACATTACTGAGGCAGACTCACTATCCTCACCAATTGCAAGCTTTCCATCGCTGCTATTTGAGAGAGAAGCTATTCCCTCGACACAGAAGCTTGCAGCTGAAGGATTTCCTCTGCAGAGAGTCATTGAACCCCAGTCGGGTGGTTCTTCTGGGGCTACAAATATCATGAAGGCAGGGTTAGATACTACAACAACATCCAGCCTACCTGCAACTCTATTTGGGGGAGAAGCTATTCTACAGGAATCCAAGGCTGCCGCTGATGAACCTGTTCTTCCTAGAATGACTGAAACTCAGCTCTGCAATTCTCCTTGTGTTGCCAATAATGTGGGCAGTAATATCAAGGATGCCATACCCCCTGCGGAATCTTAGATTTATCTGGTGTGCATCAAAACAACTCAGTGGTTTAGGACATTTTCTTCTGGAAATATAGACAGGATAAAGCTGTGATAGATGAAACATGATGCCAATGATCGAGGAATAGATGGGCATAGGCAATAATGCTCGACATTTCCATAGTTTAGAGTGTCAGGTAGATCCTTAAATATCAGTTCAGGGACTGGGCATGTATTTTCTGCTCTGAATGGCAAAACCTTTTGATTTGGGATCTCATTTTATATTTTCAATAGAAATGGATGCAGACGTTGGTAATAATTTCCTTGCAACCTTTTGGACTAATTCATTTGAAAGTAGCAAACATAGCTATCAAATTTTTGTCTTAAATTTGCTGGACGTTTTGCTTTTTCAAGTTCTGACGACCTTAATCACGTTCCAAAACTCCTTTCCATTGAAAGTGCAAGCCATTTGACTAAAATAAACTTCTAAATTTTCCCCATTGGAGTTTTCTATCCATGCAAGTTTGTTTCAATTCTTAAAATCCCTAAATTAGTGGTAACATAATATATTATGTTAATAAAAATTAAAATTAGTAATTATTTTTTCCTGTAATTTGGATTTCACAAACATGATTTATCGTGTTATTATTAACTCGAAAAAAAAAAATCCTTTCAGGTATCATGTAATCATTCTTTCTTTTTTTCCTCTTCCCTTTTTTTTTTTTTTTTTTAAAAAAAAAACCTAAAAACACATCAAAATAAAGATTATAAAGAACCAATCAACTTTGGAAAAAAAAAAAAAAAAGCAATGAACTTTTAGGGTCTTAGCCCATAAGGTCAATAGGCCACTTTGTTGAATTATTAGCCCAAAAACTAGTATAGATTCTGCTGCTATAAAAGCTCAAAATCTGCTAAATTCCGTTTGTTTCACGAGAAAACAAGAAAACTTCTGAACTCTATTCGATCGATTTCAAAATTTCAAGTACTTATACAAGGTTGCAACAAACATGGATATAATATCTCAATTGCAGGAGCAAGTGAATCAAATAGCAGGACTTACTTTCAACACTTTTGGTACCCTTCAAAGAGATGCACCATCAGTCAGACTCTCTCAAAACTACCCAGAACCTCCTCCAAATCCTACAGAAGATGCTGCCACTTTCTCTGAGCAACCAAAACAGATGAGTGCTGCCCTTGTCAAAGCTGCTAAACAGGTAATTACTCCAAACCATCTAGCTTAAAATTTTAAACTTCATAGAGAAATCCAGAAAAAGTTTGACTCTTTATTATTTTTCTCTTCATTTCAGTATCTGGGTTATGCTTAATTAGGGCTAACTCAGTGTTTTAAGTAGTGAATCTTTATTTACTTTTCTGGGTTGGCGTAGCTTGAATAATTAGTAGGTGGTTTTTGTACTGCAAGATGCCAAAGTTTTTTTCTTTTTTCTGATTTTTTTTTAATGCTTCTAGTTTAGTGTGTGTAAGAACAACCTTGGATGTCTGAATTATGGTCTTCGTACTTGAAATTAGATTTGCTGTTCTGGGTTATGTTTGGAATTTGGATAGGAGTTGTTGTATCTCTGGTCTTGAGTGCTTTATTAAGTACTGTAATCAAAACTGGGAAGTGGCTAAGGTCTTATCGTATTATTAGGTTTTGGCTGATTCATCCGATAGAGGTTTGTTTAGACTTCCAAGCTTTTTGTGAAATCTGGGTTCTAGGACGTTTGAAATTCTTTCTGGTGTTTTTTTAGTGGAGATTTGTAGTATTAGGCTCTTTCTTTTATTAAATTTAGTGAAGATACTTTTGTTTGTGGAGTTAACAACTTGATTTCTAGAGCTAATGCTGCCGTGTCTATGAATGCAAGAATCTAACAAAAATGTTGTGAGTGAAGTAAAAATGATACTTTGTGTGTGTAGAAATTTTCATCATATGTTACAGAAATATGGGCCTTTTCACTAATCATGCCTTGTCCAGTAATGGTAACGCAATGCATTTTCATTAGCACACTGAAATAATCACATTTTAGCATGATTAGTGTCAAAAAGGTTGGACGGTGAATGAAAGTCAGTATAGAAATCAATGGGAGATTTTATTAGCGATGCAAGGGTAATTAGCCAGGTAATGATAACAAGAATGTGTGAATCAAAACAGTTTGCCTTTTTTCTCCATGAGATTTTGATTTCAACTACCCTGCTGTCGGTTTTCCGTCCATCTCCAGTATGCACTTCAATAACTGAGTTGCATAGTACAGTTTAACTTATTCCTGGTTGTTCTTTACACAGTTTGATGCGTTGGTTGCAGCACTCCCTCTGTCTGAGGGAGGTGAGGAAGCCCAACTAAAGAAGATTGCAGAACTCGAGGTTTATTCCAAAGAAACTTCACCGATTTACACTTGTTATATCCATTAATGATTGATCTGCTAACTTGTCTGTGAATGTGCAGGCTGAAAATGATGCTGTAGGCCAGGAACTTCAGAGGCAACTGGAGGCAGCAGGTAAATTCTTCAACTTTTCAGCTTGTTGTTTGATGTACTATATGTGCCTGGATACTTGTTACAATGCTTGTTCTGCTTTACAATGAATCTTATGATTACTGGGCAGTTAGAGCAATGGCATCTTCCCCTGCAAAGCAAGGGCAGCAAGTAGAATTCAAATTCCGAATCCCATCCCTGGCTCCCATAAGACCCAAAAAGGGAGGATACAACGTTTTTAATGCCCTGTCAATAGCAATTCGAATTTAGCAGTTTGTAAAGTGATTTAAATTATACTAATATGAAAGGAAAGGGATATATCAAGTTTTGGAACCATGGCCTCCATCTCATGTATGAAGGCCGCTCTGGTTCAATTTGGAAAGTGATTTAAATCATACTAATATGAAAGGAACGAGATATATCAAGTTTTGGAACCATGGCCTTCAACTCATAGATGAAGGCTGCTCTAGTTCAACATGTGCAGATGGGGTGACTTGGTGAGCATAACTGAGGGAAACCATGGAGGAGCTTGTAGATATAGATAGCAGCGTGCCATCCTATTAGATTCATATAATTTTCTGTCAGTTGGTCAATGTGATTAGTTTTAACAGTTCTTAGATTTGAAATGGGTTATTTTGGATGATTTACACGCCGTTGGCATGTGTTTTCCTCTTTTCTGTACTTATCACTGGCAATAATGGTGGTTTCGATGGTTGCAGAGAGGGAGCTAAAACAGGTGCAAGAGTTGTTCAGTCAAACTACAGATAATTGTTTGAACTTGAAGAAACCAGACTGAAGATTATTGCGTATACATTTTTTCCCGAACTTTTTCCTGTTAAATGTTTTTAAGGATATTGCTAGATTTACTCAAGGTATTGGTTGAACGTTTCTACAAGTACTCAAAGGCAGAATGGTATATTAGTCATCTCTCAGATCCTCAAAAGTCATTTTCTTGAAGTTCCTTTTTGTAGAACAAACAACACCCGCTCGAAGACAAGGGTTTCGAATGACTTATTGTACATAGTCAATGCTATATTTGCAGTATCTTGCCCATGCTAACGTAGATTTGTAGGATAGGGATTTTCAACTTTTTCTCAAATGAGTATATGAATTTTAATGTTTTTTTTTTAGTATGCTGATTTTTTTAAACCATCAATTAATTATTTTCGTTAATTTTTTATTAATTAATGATGTGTATGTTACTCTTGATATTCTAAATTATAATTTTTTTTTCAATTAAATACATGAACTTTAATTTTTTTTAATATATTAATTTTTTTCAAAACTATCAATTAAGTATTTTTATTAATTTTTTTTGTTAACTAATACATTTTTGAAGTGTTTGAATAGAACAGTGTAATTTCTCTTCTTTTGTTGGATGAAACTTTCTTCTTAAATTATTTTATCATTTCAAAATTTGATATTTTTTTTAAAAAATTATTTTTAACTATAAAATCTTAGATTAAACTAAGTTAGGTTGTTGTTTTTTTTTTAAAAAAAAAACTTGTTAGGTTTAGAAGTGAAAATTGAAAGAAAGCACAAATAATTTTTTTTTAATGCAAAATCTCACGTTTATGTTTACGCTCAAAATCTAACCGAGTTAAGGAAAACACAAATAAGTTTTCTTAATAAAAAATCTCATGTTTATTTTTACACTTAAGATCTAATTAATTTTTTTTTAATTAGTAAGTCTAATTGAGTTTAGTTTTGGATTTTATAACTAAAAAATAATTTTTTTAATTATTTATTAAATTTTAAAATGGTAAAATAATTTGGGAAGGAAGTTTCTTACAATAAAAGAAAAAAATATAATTTGGCATTTGTACAAGTCATCAATAAATTGAAAGATTGACAGAAATACTTAATTTAATAGCTTTGAAAAAATTAGTGTATTTAAATAGAAAAAATTAAAGTTCATGTATTCTATTAAGAAAAACATAAAATTGTAATTTAATATTTTGATAATAACAAACATATCATTAGTCAATGAAAAAATTAATAAAAATATTCAATTGATTGTTTCGAAAAAAGCTAGTCTACTCAATAAAAAAATTAAAATTCATGTATTGAATTGGAAAAAAGAAGAAGTTAAAACTGGCATATTCATGATGCAATTATCCTTTTTGTTAAAAGAATATGAAATTGTTGTTGTACTTCATTTTAAAGCAAAACAAAATGAAAACCTATTATATACCATAATTCTGCTGGTAAAGGCATTACTGCCATCGGTTAAGTTCACAATCAATGCGTAAACCTCCTAGCTTCCTCTACATCAGCAAGCAATTCTCATCTTGAAGTAAGGAAAACCTTCTCCTCCACTTCAGAAGTTTTAAGTTAGGGTCTTTCCTTTCAGTGCCATTAATGTATCGCGGACACCTCGTTTACAGAACAAATAAAAACATTTTCCCCATACTGCCAACAAGCAACATTTGGCCAAGTCCCGCGGTTCATGCCTAAGTTGAATCAAGGCCACCATAAATGTTCAAAATATTCACATCCAAAAAAGGAAACACAGATTAATAATAGCATAGCTCTCTGATCAAATCTTAAAACATGAAAGGTTATTGATACAAAAATAAAATAAAATAAAACAGATGTTTGAGCTTATAGAAAGAGAACAACACAGCCTGAAATGGTTTTCCTCCAAAAAGCATACAAGAAGAGAAAGGAAAAGCACCATCTTTCTATTAATAAACTACAAGGACAGGAGGTAGTAAGCCAAAACTTCTCAGCTATATCCTACTTGCTGCTGATGCTGCTGCTTCTGCTGGCCCTGCTGATAGTTTCCATAGCCAGGATAGCCTCCATAGTACATGTTGGGGTCCTGGGCAACTGGAGCGTACCCATAATTTTCGTATCCTTGTTGCCCATACCCATAGTATCCTGCACCATATTGGTTTGCATCTGGCTGAGCCTGCAAATAAAGAGGCATGCCATATATCTGTCAGGTTCAAGAGCACAAGCAAATTTCTATACATAAGTGAGAGCTAATATGAAATTACCTGTTTGTTTGAAGGACTACGGCCCCATGACAGTCGAATACTCTGTCCGCTCAACTGAACTCCATTTAACATCTTCAATGCTTCTTCTGCAGAACTCCTGACACAATGCACAAAGGGAGATTAAATATTTGTTTTTCCTCAAGAGCTGGCATTGGCAGATGCTTAAGCAAATTTCTTTACCTGTCAGCAAATTGAACAAACCCACATCTCTTGCCTGCAGGTATCTTCACATGCAATAATTGTCCATATTGGCTAAACAGTTCTTTCAAATGGTCATCCATAACGCTAGGATCCAAATTACCAACAAATATCTGTGTTTAAATTTGTCCAAGTCAGTCATTTTGGAAAAAGCAAGTAGTTTCTATAGTAAAAACGAACCAAGTACCCACAGTTGTATTATTTGGGTCGCTGTCGTTCGGGGTCTGAGAATTCTGATAGGATGCTGCATATGAAAATAAAGATAAAATAACCAAGAAATACAAAATGTCAGGCAAGACAGCTCCTAGAGATTACGGACCCACATAGTAAAACAGCAGTTCAAGAAACACACGCGGACATCTCACTTCAAAAGAAAAAAAAAATTATCATGATGAATAGAGCACATTAGCTGAAATATACACAAGTGTGCATGAATTCAACTCAAGACTAACATCCAATTAATTCCTGGGATGTATCAAATCAATTCCCATTATTTAGCTTGCATACAGCACAAGTTCCTTCTCAATCTCTTGTTTCTTGTATAATGTGTTTGCTCCCCAAACAAAAGGAAACAAGAAAGAATTAAATGGCAACAAGAAAGAATTAAACAGCAGTAGAGCATAAGATTCAAATTTTTATTCACCTGATTATACGTGGCAAAAAAAAAAAAAAAAGTTAACATTTACACCCAATCTCCAATCATTCTCCACATCAAAATTCGGGAGAGTAAATAACAGAAATTTCTGATAATTAGTCTACAACCATAAAGAAAAGTTAAGATGCATTTAGGATACTGTGGAGAGGCATGGAATTAGTTCTCTCTTTAAAAAAAAAAAGGTTTTGCCTCAATAATATTGTAACTTTTCACAAAAAGTGTTTTGTTGGGTAGGGGTGTGTGTGGTGTGGGGGCAAAGCCAAAACCACAACTTGGATATGGCATGGTTTTAACCAACTTATTCACATTGGAGGTCACACCAAAATACTAATCTGAAATTCAAGTCCAAGTAAATAGTCAACTTGAAATAATGCAATATAAAGGAGCATGGTATGCCGATCTAAAAACAAACAGTCAACCCAGAAAGCAATGAAACCATATAATCAAAAAACAGCAAGCAATGTGGCATCTACTCCAGGGAAAGCCACAAACTACACCAATTGGAACATATCGTTTACCTGATTTATTTGGCTTCTGGAACATGTGATCATTTAAAACTTCAAGAACGATTGCAAAAGGTGAGAGAGACTTTGGTTTCGTTAGAGAACATTTGTTCAATGTTGGTGGTTTTATCAAAAACTATTATGCCATATCAATGTTCTTTTAAAAAAGAAGACCTTTAAATGTCAACAAAACTCATCTTTTCCTATGGAAAGCAACCTAACACCCAGAGCAACTAATGGCACCAAAAAAAATCCCAAAGGGCCAAAAATTAACAAAATCACAAAGCAAGAAGTAAGGACAAGAAGAGGCAGCAGTCCCAATAAAGACCCAAAATGATGGTGCAGCAATGTGGTAATAGTAGTTTCAAGCAATATTGAGTCACCATGCACATTCACAAAGTAAACTGGCAGTGGCTGGGAAACCTAAACTCACAAAAAAGCAAAGAAATCTAGAAATATTAATTAGAATAATATGTGTAAGGAACAAAGAAGGAAAATCTAATGAATGAATAATTATCTGGGAAACAGACATAATATTAATTTTTATTTTTTTCATAATGACTGAAAAAAGAAAAACTAGACCCTGTCTGATAGTAAAGATGACACAATACTGAACTGATAAACTTTTAGGTAACCAGAGCAGCAAGGAATATAACTTGACAGAGAGCTCAACTTATTGAACGAACTGAAAAGATGCTTGAAATGTAGCATTGCAGATGCTACATATAAGCACAAAAAAAGGGCAGGACAAAAACTTAAAACTGACCGAGGTGAGGCCACGCACTAAAGGGTAACCAATTCAGCTGAAATCAGTTCCAGGACCTTAGATGATAGAGCCTCTTGAAGCCCTGCTTTGAGACACAAGGAGTTTTATAAGTTTTTGCATGTTTCAAGATTTCTAATAGAATTCATTGTGCCCATATGTTAAAGGAAAGTATGGAAGGAAATGACTTTGGAAACTGCTGCCTATCTTCAAAGAATAACTGAAAGAAAGCAAACTAAACAAAAAAGTCACGCATACGACAGAGCATAAGAAGAACTGAAAATTCAAATAAACACCCTACCATTCTAAATGGGGCAAATCCATGATTAAAATGCACATTGAAAAGGAAGAACAAAAGACACCGTGTTTAGAGAATTGGCATTCAGCTGGAGCAACAACGATGACAACTAGGAAACATACCTTTTGGATATTGCTGAACAGCCACAGCCTTCTTGTTTGTAGCAAGCCCTACTCGCATAGGCCTTGACGAACAGAATGCCCCATTCATCTCAGTCATAGCACGTAGTTGTTCACTTTCATCTCCAAAACGAACAAATCCATAGCCTTTTGTGCGTCCAGTGAGCCTATCAATCACCACCTTTGCACCCTTCACTGAGGGAAAGTGGGCCCTGAATGTCTCTTGGAGCATGAAATCTGTAACATCAGCAGCCAAGTCTCCCACAAATATAGTGAAGTCAGGAGAATCATCACGCTTATCACCCCCACTAAAAGAAGCCCAGTTCAGCCTAAAGTTCTGCTCGCCATTTGGCATTGGGGTACCATTATAAGTCTGCAATATCCTTTCTGCAGCCGCATGACTGGTAAACTCAATAAATCCATAACCCTCAATTTGAGAAGTTTGCTTATTACGAATGACTTTTACAGAAGCAAACTGCAAGAAAAAATCTTCTCATTAATGTAAACTCAAGATTAGGATCCTCCCCTCTCTCTAATTCATAGCAAGCGTGTAAACATAATTCTGTAAAGTTTAAGGTATGAAGAAGTCCAAAATATATTGTTAGATTTGACATATATTCACAAACTTTTTGTCCCCTCCGCGAACAGACAGAAAATCAATTTTACTACAACTCGTATGATGAATATATTTGATCTATGTGATACATTAACTACTAAGCTTTTCAAGGTTTTGCACTTTTCCTTCAAACAGCCAAAACCATCTAACGGAGAAGACAATATTCAAGTAAATGTAAGTGCATCACTATAACAATTCTGTTTCTCTGAAGGACAAACAAAAATCATAAATTGGTAAGCAAACTAATCAGATTCATCAATACAAAAACCTCTTTGATACAAAAAAGAATCTTCAATTCATCTCTCCTTCATACAAAGGAATCATACAACACCTAAGTAGAGGAAACAGACTCATTCATAAATTTCAACAAAGAAAGGAAAAGAATCAGCAGAGACTACAAAAATCTTACAAACCAGAAAAGGTTATAGTCACCATCTCCAAACCCATCCTCCCTTCACTTAAATTAAGTTACACACCTAAATTTACCAGCCAAACACATCATAAAAATCTTCTTATACTACTATACTCATCATCATAGTTTCAATAACAATAATAATAATTTCACCAAAAAAAAAAAAAAACAATTTCAAAAATAATAATAATAACAATTTCACAAAAAAAAAAAAAACCACAAGCACCAATTAAGAGATAAAAAAAAAAATCAAATCTTTACCCATAAAAAACACAATGTTTACACAAAATGAAAAACTGGGTTTTTTTTTTTTACCTCTCCAGTATGAGCAAAGCAACTAGCGAGATAGTTCTCATCCATCCAGTACTGCAAGTCACCAATCCAAAGAGTCCTGACCTCATCAGAACTAGCAGGATGTTGACCTTGTCCTTGTTGTAGTTGCTGTGGTGGTGGAATAGAAGCTTGATGGACCGGATGTTGAGCCCACATGTGAGGAGGTGGAGGTTGTGTTTGAGCCATTTGCGGTGGTGGCATCATCATCATGTAAGGAGGTTGTTGATATTGCTGTGGTGGTGGTTGTTGTGGTGGCACCGCTCCTCCTGGACCTGGTTGCTGCATCATGGTGCTCGTGCGTGGCTCTAGGTTTTCTTGACGAAGAGAAAGAGAGAGGGAAACCCTAGAAGGTTGATTTCCGGCTCGAGGAGGAGAGAGACTGGAAAAGATTAGGGCAGAGGATTCTTTTAAGGACACGTCGTGCTGAAGCGTGGCAGCTGCTGATTACTCCTAGGCTTTCCTTTTATAGAAACTCTGCGTTTCGATACTTGCTTGCTTAACTAGGAAAACTATGGTTATTGGTTGCTCCCATATAGTTTTTTCTAATCTTAACTTATAAAATATTTTCCAAAATCATATACATTGAATGAGATCCATAATATTCCATAAATCTAATTTTTGAAATTTTTCAAAAATAAATTAAAAATAATATATCCATAAAATGTATTTTTTTTATTTCAATGTTGATTCAATAATAAAGAAACCAATCACTAGTTTATAGTTTATTTGTAAATCAAAACTAAATTCATTTTCTGAATAATTATAAAAGTAGCTTCTCGTATCGACTTGATGTATTTTCAAAAAAATTAATAAATTGTTTTAAATATTGATACCAAGATTTACACTAAAAAAAAATCGAATAAATGGAATAAATTTTTTTAACTGTCTATACTAATTCTATAAGGATAGGATCAAATTTCTTTTTTCTTTTTTATCATCAAATATAATAATTTCATTAAACGAAAAGTAATCTAAAATACATAGCTATTTCTAAAGTTGAATGAGTATAAGAATTATAATTTATTAATGGAAAAAAATAACAAAATAATAATCTTTTCATGATTTTTATTATAATTGCTAAGATTATGTATTTATTCATAATTTATCTGATTTATATTAGAAGAATATGGCTTGAATTCGTTTTCGTATTAAAAAAAAAATTCAAAGATCTATAGAAATGGTTAGACTATCATTGTGGTATTCAAAATTTTTAAATTATAATGGTAAAAGAAATATTGTCATATAGTTTATTAGTTTAATAGTATTTTTTTTAAAGGATAACATATGAGAGAAAAAAGAGAAAAAAAAAAAAGAAGAAGATAGACTAGATTTCAGATACAAATATATGAATTTATATAAAAATAATTATTTATAGTTCAATCTTTTCTTTTTTTTTATAGTTTCGATAATAAGAGATATTTTTAGATTATTTTAAATGTAAAAAAATTAGAAGATTTGAATCCAAAAAACTAAAAAACAGAAGAAAGTTTTGGGATTAAACCCAAAGTTAAACCGAAGGTTAAAAATAAAAGTCAAAACCCATAAAATGCGAACGTCCTTACATGGACAAAAATCCCTTATGTTTTATTCCTCTGTCAAAAACAGTCTGTCTTCTTTGATTTTTCAACTGGGCAGTCAAATTCTCCGGATCTCACTCTCGCTTTGAACTCTCCCTACCTCACTGCAAAACACGCCCAGCATCCAATTCTGGTAAGAAGCATTGATTCTTATATTCAAGTCCCTTAAAATAACTGTAATCGTGGACATGACCATATAGTCTACTACGTTCTTTGTCACGGCCTGTCTAGTTCACTGCACTTGTTAGATTCTTAGACCCTTTAGAGATCAAAATTTATTGTAAAGTTTTAAGTTTTGTGATTTGTTGTATGTGTCGTAGTAATAAAGGTTAGTGCTTTGTTACTGGGTTTGCTGGTTTTAGTGGGGTTTTGGAGAATTTGGTGAGATTTGGGAAAAGGGTCATGATGGATTTGCATTTGAAGAATTTGTATGGTAGATTTCAGGAGCAATTTGGTTCTGGTCCTGGGCTTGGTCCTGGATCAGGGACGTGTCTAATGAAGATAGAGGGAGTTTCTCCTAATTTCATTAAGTCTATATATAAAGGTTCTGCTACTCTTTATAGAACTGAACCATGGAAAAGATTGCGTCCGGGGCATGTTTTTGGTATCCGGGTTGGGAAGGATTCGGATTGGTCTGGCAAGAAACAGCCTTTTCCTTGTGTTCAGTTTGTAGGAGGTGATGGTGGTGATGTTGGGTTTCATATGTTCCGATCTGAAAGTGACGCTAAGAAAATGACTGGATCGAGGGAGACAATTCGTGTTCCGAATATTGAGCTTTTGAGGGTCACATATGAGCCCGAGTCTTTGATGTTTCCTTCAAATAAGAGAATGATCAAGTCTTTGTCATTGGAAGCGTCGGGTACTGATAGGTTTCCTGTCATTGATGTTGCACGCTGTATGTCTTCTTTTGAGCTTCAGTTTAGGAATCCTACAGTTGAAGAGCTTAGGTTTGTGTATGCGTTCATGATAGCTATTTCTCTTGTGCATCCATTACTCCAGGAAGATAAAGAAGGTGCTCCAAAATGGTCAAGGCTGATGTATTTTGAACCATTTATTGAGACTGTGGATGTTCAATGGCCTCCAGAAATGGCCAAGGGTCATGACCTTGTTGCAGTTACTGTCTCCCATCCGCCTGGCCAGGCATATGTGGAAAAGGCGAGCTCGACAGGTAGTTCAACACCCACCAAGTATGCTGAACCACCGAGGGAGGAGATCTTTGTTGATGTAAGAGTAAATTCAAATGGCATCTTGAGGCAGTGTACATTGTGCGAGAAAGAAGTTCATGGAGACCAGTCTCAATGTTGTGCACAGTGTCGTGCTGTGGTCTATTGCAGTTCTCTGTGCCAGAAGCAGCACTGGAAGACACATAAAAGCATGTGTGGTCTTTACAAGGCTATGATGGAAAGGGAAGAAGAGCTGGCAATGAAAATCTTTTTGTTCCCATGTTCTGCTGACCAGCCTTGTAAATGGCTTGAGTCATTGGGCATCCATCGAAAAGGCATGTGGAGAAGGAAGTGTGGTTGCTATGCCCACTGCCCTTTTGGTCTCCTTCCTATCAAAGGTGGGCTTTGGGACTCATGGGGTGGGCTGGATGACGAGGAGTACCCTCGTGATTCCCCTTTTCACAACCATATGAGAGATGGGATATCAAGCCCAATCCTTCTTTCTGGTTGGTCAGAGTACTATAATCTTCGGTCACTACCATTATCAAGCCCTGTTGCTGACATTCTCTCTCACCCATTAACAGTTTATTACATATTAACTGCTCTTAATATCAGTTCGAAGAACCTCTTACTCAAAGGGAAAGAGGTGATTGTTCACTACCTTGGTCCTGAAGGGGAGTTAGATTGGATGCCTGCATTTGCAGAGATTGGCCATATGCTCAATGGATCGGGTAATATACATGTTGTAATGGTGGGACCTGAAGTTCCAACTAACTTGTCGGGCACAACTTCAGGAATTAGTAGTAGAGTGAGGGTGAATCTTGTGAGGGGCATTTATCAGGATGAAGCCACCTATCTGCCTTACCCGCATGTCATAGTTGCATTGAACTGTGGAGCGGAGAGCTATTCAGCTTGGGGTGGAGCACTTGAATTGATAAAGTCTAGAGGTGTTCCAGCCTTCTTCACAGAGCAGTCTGAAATTTCATGTGCAAATGCTAAGCAGGTTCTTCGTGGAGCCGGACTACACATTACCCATCCGGTGACACCAAATCCTTTCCGCTCTCCAGTCAAGACTCATGGTCTTTCTAACAATCTTCCTTCGTATAGCAATGGTTTTGTGCTTGGGGTGAATACATGAAGAAGGAGCCATGTTTCTGTCATCCACGATTCTCAGGATGGAAGCAACTTGATTCAGCCTGAGGTAGTAAATTTAGCATGCATCATTCTCACTTGTTGCTGAGAAGAACATTCGTTTGTATACTTTTCAATTTTTTTTTGTCATTTAACTATAATCAGCTGATTATCAGCATGGTATACTGCTGTGATCAACCAGCCCTGGCCAGATGTGGTTGTATCTTAGCCACATGTCTGTAAACTTTCAACCATAAGAGAATTCTTTTCCACAGTTTCTACACGTCATTCGGTATCTGTGTTCTCTCTTCCTCTCCTCGGAAATGACTTTGTTGAGTGAAAATCATTTCCTCTCTTATAATGCTCTCTTCCATGTTTTATATATGAACATGAAAGTACGTGGATGGAGAATGCTGTAATTTTCCTGGATGTCTTTGGCGGTAATAGTATGGGAAAATTTGCGAGGACAATTTGACAGATATTATATATGAGGCAATTCAATTGTGAGCAGAGATTCCATAACGAAAGGAGGAATGGGCCAACCCTACTTGAGCCACTTATCAAACTGTCAAATCACAAACACACAAGAATCTCTCTTAATTAGTGCACGACACAGCTCTATTCTGTTGTATCTTGAAGCAAGGAAAAACCTGCAACAACTTGACAAAAAACCTTCCAACTCTCTTCATGGACGTCTGGGGCAAGCTGCAATGAGCATCCTTAGTGGATAGATTTGTCATTTCAGAACTAGCACCGCAAATTTTGACCATCCAACCTTAACGTATATAGAAGGAAACCAAACCCTCCTGTAAAGTTCAGAGAGCCCAGCAACTTGCAATCCTACAGCTTGCTCTATAAAAAGGCTAACCAGTAAGTCCCTTCTCTTCTCAAGTCACACCCCATCCTGCCCCAAAGAGGTCTGATAAGCAATGGAGTTGTCTGTGTATCATCAACCTTCCCCATGGTACTATTTCCTTGCAAACCCTGCCCTCTTCTCCTATCCCCCCACCCCAGAAAACCACGTTAGCTGGTCTCAAACCCCTGAGTCTCACGTATACTCTGCTGACCTCCCCGGTACTTGACGACACGATGTTTTCTTTTCGTTTCTTGAACTTTCTTGCATTTCTTGAATTCTTTCTGTTATGTTTTGATTGGCATGAAACGTCGTTGTCTTGGTTCTTGTGGCAGGTGTGAGGAAAGAGGAGATAAAGCTGGAGTTAGAGGATTCAAGGTACCTTATAATTAGAACTGAGGCCATTGATGAATCAGCTCAGCCTGCTAAGACCTTCAAGAGAAAATTCAGGCTTCCTGGTGGGATTGATATTGAGGGAATATCAGCTGGATTCGAAGATGGTGTCTTGACAGTCACTGTACCAAGAGCTTTTAGAAGGAGGGGATTCTTTATTGACCCAACAGATGTGCCTGAAAGGCAAGAACTTCTTGCGAGGGCTGCTTGAATTCTTCCATCACTAGTTGGTTAATTAGGCACTAAAACTATTGGTTTATGATTCATTTCTTAGCATTGCTTACTGTGGCAAGCTAGATTTGGTACTTTGATTGGAAAAATAAGGAATGAAGTTTCTAATTCTGCTCTAATCTTCTTGAATCTTGGTTTCCTCTAGCATCACTTTGCTATTGGATTTTGCTGTAGTTTCCTTCTCTTTTCTTGTCCCTTTGAAATATTTCATAGTTTCACTGTTTTTGCTGAAATTGGCAAAGTGAAAAATCAAATTCAAAGATCTTTTTGTTGGTTATTGGATTTTTGCCAAACCCTTTTAACTTCATGATAAGTTTAGCTCCCATTGGTAGTGAATATTCCATGTTCCTAACCACCTAGTTTTGCTGTAGACCTTGGTTCATGTATGGATGCTGAAGCCTCTCCCTGTTATGGCTCACAAGGGTCCATCGGTTTAGTGAATATCTAGTTTTTTTTACCCATGGGCCATGGCATATTTTTAGCCGCGCGTTATGTTGCAGATCGAGAAAATATATAAAATTATTTTGTTTTAATATTTATGTATCCATTAAAATATATTAAAATAAAATAAAAATTTATTTAATTTTATAAATTTTTAATCGAAATTTTGTATTAGACTAATTATTTTTTAAATTTTTATTAAAAATATATTATTTATTTATTTTTTTCACATTTTTAACTAAAAACTTATTTTATAAATTTTTTTAACATCTTTTTACCTTAAAATTTCAGAGGAAAAAACAATGAAGTGATCAAAATGAAACAAAAAAAAAAAAAGAAGGAACAATATAAAACTAAAAAGATTGAGGATTAAAAAAATAATGTTTAAAAATAACATATTAAAGTGTAATATTATGAAAATTTTTATAATAAATATCTTTAAAATTATACAAATAGGATTATATAGTGAAAAATTAATACTTTTGAGTTTGTATGAACAATGGGAAGAAGTTTAAGTGAATAATATTTTAAATAATCAGTGAATAGTAATCAATTATTTTACTTTAGTTTTTTTTTTTTTTGGTAATATGCAAACAGGGTCTTAAATTGGATGCAGATATTTTTGTGGCCATGGCGAATCCGAATCTCCAGTCTTCCGAAAAGATAGGCAATTGTCATGTGCAAAGCCAGTCATTGGGACCATCATGCTCAACTTCCAACAACCTTTCTTTTCCCACCCCCATCAACTACTACATTATCAACCGGTTATTTATTAATTATCTTTTAATGGAATCATAACCAGTATTATAATTGCAACTTGTGGCCACTCGGATAAGCTGATAAGAAAATTCGTTTTGACTCCATTTGTTTAACGCGAAATAACTTCCAGTAGAAAAAATGATCATGAAAAAAATATTTTTTAAAAAATTATTTTTAAAAAAATATTTTTTGATATTTGATAATTACATAAAAATAAAAATAAATTATTAAAATATTTTTTTAAAAAATAATTTTAAGACGTAAAAATATTTTTTAAAAATATTTAATGTATTCATAAATCAAAAAATCAAATGTTAGTAGAAATAAAGAAAAAATAATTAAATAATTCATAAAAATTGATAAAAAATTAATATGATATATTTTAAATTAAAAAAATACAAAAAATAATTATTAAAATATATCAACAGAAAGTTGAATAACAATATAAAAGCAAAACAACTTACGAGAGAGAAAATATTTTCTTTTTTTTAATTCAAAAGTCACTTTTTTAAAAATAATTTATTAGTTTTCATCGATTAAAAATCAAATTCCATTAAATTTTTTCTCTAAACGAGCAAAATAAATATCGAAAAAAAAAATTTACTGAAACTTATTTTTCCCAAAAACAAACACAGCTATGAAAGTTTAAGGTCATATTTTTAGGTTTATTTTTTGAAAATATAATATATTTATCTATACACTTATTTTTTGTTAGAAAATAAATAATTACGAGTTGCCATAAATAAATCAAGATAATCAAAGAAAGTCTGCAACTTGTCAAGTGGTTTTTGGTCCCCTCGCAGCATTTTTATGGCATCCATGAGGCAGATGAAGGATCACAACATTGCTGTGCTCTAACTCCAACTTGTCCTCTGCCCTAAAAGCAGGGGGAATAGAAAAAAACCAAACACAACTTCCTTAAACGAGAAAGAAAGAAAAGGCTTGATTAATAAAACAAATAAAATGACATTAGTGATCAAAATATTCATTACAGTCAATCAGTGAAGATAATCAATTTCTTCTCAAATGATTCTGCACACCTCTCAATACGCTCTTAATTTCTACCAGGAAGGCAGGAACCTTTGAAATTGAGATAGAAAGAGATTAGATCTCAAAACTCAATCATGCACAGATAATGCATGGCAACACAAAGAAAGCCTAAACAACATGGCCCTGGAACTGCTCCAAAATGTTACATTTCCATACCTTTAAACGTGCAGTTGCTCATGGCACTATACAACTTTGCTAGAATACAACAGGCGTAAGTTGCATCCGAGTCTGACTATCGATTTATCAGTTTTAAGAGATTGATAGCCTCGCATAATCTTCTTTCTATGTTCTCTCTCACAGCCACGCCGCGAGGTTTCCTGCACAAAGATGGGATGCATATGAATTTATCTAACTTTGGCCTATTTTGATACAAGTGTTTTCTATAAAATTCATCAAAAAAGTAAAAAGTTTTTCTATAAAAATCATCAGAGCTACATTCATCTGGAGTAGAATTTGTAAGAGAATAGAGTTCTGAATGCCAGTAACTTACTTCTTCTCGAAGTTTGCCTTCCTTGTTAATTCTTCCACAAGACTGCGTAACCTCTTTATGAGGGCAGGTTTCTTTAGCACCATTTCTACACCTTTCTGATTTGAACAGATCTTCTTCATAATCTCTGAAGCAATGAAATATCCTTCCTCCTTGTTCCTGGAAAGCAGTAGTTGAAAGACAATTTGTTCATAAATAGCAAACAAAAACATGCCATTGACTTCTAATGCAGAGCATAATAAAAAACCTGAGCAACTGCCAAATAATTATTTCTACTATTCCTTGACTGTCAATTAGCACTTCAATCAAATGTGGATAACGGGCAAGATTCCTGAGAACTGAGAGGGCGTGCTTTAAAACCTCCTGGTCAGGCATGCTTTGGCTGACTGACCGAATCAGCTTCAGTAAGTTTTCAATCGCCCCAGCAGCCACAAGTTTCTCACAACATTTCTGAGAGTGTTCTGTAGCCATATCTGCAGAAAAACTTGGAATTAAGTACACAAAATCATACCTTCTTTCAAGAGGCATATGGTTCTTGGCTCGTTATTTCAACAAAAAAGACAAATGGATAGAAGTTCTCTTACATCCATGTTCATTCAATAAATTCAAGATTCAATAACGGGTCATGGACTGAGTAAGATGGCATGAAGATGCTTTATTTTTCATGCTTACACAAGTTAAACCAAGTATCCTTGCATCTTGTCCAAGCATGTCATGATACTGTGAAATCAACTGGTACTTGCTCCAGGAAAGAGGTGTAATTTTTTTAAAGAGAAGTGTTATGTAGGCTAGAATAATTCAAACAAATACCATTTGATTCCCATGCTACTTCCCAGTAAAGCATGAATAAGACTATCAAAACATTCTAATTTCTAAGATCTAAGACATAAGAAAATCTTACACAAAGCTGCACAAGCGTAAAGAAAAACTTACCCAAAGTTGCACAAGTGTGAAGAATGCCACTAATACTTCTCATGCTTGATAGTTCAGAAAGTGCTACTATGAGTCTGTTAATTATACGCATGCTGTCATCCACATGTTTAGCAGAATTTCGCACTCTTAGGCGCAAATCCAGGAGTTGCCCTCTAGCTTTTTTACGTGCAAGGTAACCTTTCCAGTACGACTGCCAATTTACAAATGTCAGTTAAACTTAAGGAAGATATTGAACAGATAAACAGTGCCAAATCATAGTGGCACTATCATAACTAGAGGGCAATTCACCTTAAGGAAGATAACATAAATCCCAACTCAGTAAAATGATTGACCTGAGTATAAGAGACGCATGGACACAGAAAAGAGCCAAAGCTAAAAGAATTCCAACTCTTCAAGGAAGGAACTAATTCACCTTCGATCCAGGAAAATATACACCCATGATAGAGAAAGTGGAGAGAAAGCAGCACAGCGAATTTAAGTAAGCGCCATGTAATCAAAACATGAATTCATAAAGAAAGGTGCATTTATCCAAGTCGTATATCAACAACAAATAAATTCAGGGGCAAAAAAGATTTCAATTCTTTACTCACTTAAAAAGATTTTAATCAGATATTCTGGTATAATGTTCCAGCTTTATTACCATGGAAATGCAACATAGAAAAATACCAGCAGAGATCTATTAGTCTTACTTGAACCACAACAACACGTTGCCTCTCTCTACAGGCCTTTTGCCTGCCAATCCAACCTCGAACAAGAGACTGTATGACGATTGCTGATTTTGCTCTATGTTTATGCAATAAAATACCTCTCCACCACCTTTGCAGCTTCAGAATAGAAGACATCACTATTTTCAATTCCAAGCTTTGCAAGCAGACTCTTGAGGTCTGAATTTTGCAATAACTAGCAGTGGATCCACAAAAGTGAGATGCCCCTGCATCATCCCAATGCCAGATATTTTTAAGACAATTAAACTCAACCCATATTTCAATAATGCAGACGAACTTGAATAAAATAAAATTGCTAGCAACTACAGTTCATAAGAAATTTTCACAAACCTAATAGCCTATTTCGAGCAATCTCCCCCTGACAAACCCCTGAATCTCTATTGCAGCTTGTTTACAGTAATGAAATGCCTTCCAGCATTTTAAACATCGAACAGCACTTTGAATTTTTGTCACTGCTTCTCTCTGGAACAAAAAGTCATGGCTAATTAGCCAACAGCAGCAGCATCAAACTTACGCCATAACCAGGCCAATGGCAGCCAAATTTGCAGGCACATATTGAATTCACGAGTGGCAAAAAAAAAAAATAACAACAACATAACAGCCAACTGTATAAAGTGATGGGCTGAGACAAAGGTCTGCTGACAAAATCACCATACCAAGACTTCAGAGAAAGAACTAAAAAAGATACAACCAGGATAAAGGACAATGGAGAAGAAATAAGTACATTGAAGATGAGTTGAGAACACCATGTCTAGTTAAGACAGAGCAATGCAAAGAAAAATTTGTTTTCTATATACATATTCAAGACAACCATGTGGAGGAAATTTTGTTTAACTATACAAATATATTAGCAACCAACAAATTCAAGGCTAGCAAATGGTTTGAACTTATTATCAATTAGATATTCTGGTAAATGTGCAAGCCATATTCCCAGGGAAAAATAAAAAATAAAAAAAGAACTCCAAAGATGTCATAGTCTTACTTGTTGGAGGGCAACACATTGCCTCTCTCTAGAGGCAATTTGCCTGCCAATCGAACCTCGAATATGAGCTTGTATAACAACTGCAGACTTTCTTCTGAGTTTAAGCAATAGAATGCCTCTCCACCACCTTTGTAGTTTCAGAACCGAAGACATAATTGCTTTCAGTTGCAAGCTCTGTAAGCAAACTCCTGAGGTTAGAAAATTTCCATAACAAGCAATGCCTCCAGAAAAGTGAGAAGCCCCTGTAATAGCCAGATGCCAAATACATTGAATGCTAAGAGAACCGAACTTGATAAGAAATTCAGAAATGAACAAAATTATCAAAGCAAAAGTGCACGCATTTAAAGCTTAGGAAAAAACTTTCACAAACTACCTAATAGCCTATTTCGAGCAATGTGTCCCCTGACAAACCGTTGGATTTCAATCGTAGCATGTTTGCGAGAACTAAATGCCTTCCTGCAGTTTAAATATCGAATAGCACTTTGAATCTTTGTCGCTGCTTCTCTTTGGAACAAAAAGTCCCTCCTTATTAGCCAACCTCGGCAGTATCTCTGGATTCATTTGCACAAAAAAGAACTTAAAAATACTACTTATTACTTCAGGTAAAGGTTGTCTAGAGTATAAAGCAATGCCATTTCATGGAAAAATGCTTCAAGGATGGGGCTGTCGTGAAATCATCCCCGAAACACTTCCTTTCCAGGAACACAGTGAGTAAAGCAAATTCCAATAGCTTCACCTTCTTGCTGGATTTGTGTAGCACATAGAAGTAAGAAATGAACATGTAATGCCTTGAAAGTTGCTATATACAAGTGAATTTCATTCAGATAAATGAACAAATAAACAAGCATTTATCACACTTCCATCCATCTAGATTCAAGCAGGTGATACAGGAGTTCAACAACTATGAAAACAGTTGCCACTTCTGATAGGCAGATGAATAAGTATAAGTATCTAAGCATTATCACCTACATAGAGAACAAGTACTTGTGATAAAAAGAACAAAGATTAATTTACACAGACAATACGACATCACTAAAACTAAATACCAGAAACTCATTTTAGCAATCTTCCCCCTCAACCCTCAAGGGCAGTTAAATTAGTTATTTTGTCAGTATGGTAAATGGATCTGCACAAAAGCTAAATTCTATAAGTTAAAAGTCTCTACATGCATTATGTATCAATGCAATGTATGTGATGGGGGAAAAAAGTGCATACAAAAATACAGTAGGCAGATAGCTTACTTGAAGCACAACAGCGTGATACCTATATCTTCCCACTTCTCTCCTTACATTCCATCCACGAACATAAGATTGAATAACAATGGCTGACTTTTTAGCAATCCTAAATTGTTGAAAAACCCTCCGACATCTTAAGCGTCTGTAATTACTTTGAATTTTCATCATAGCTTGCTTCTGGGTTAAAAATGTCCTTCTCAACAGCCAACCTCGGAAATCACTTTGAATTTTAGTAGCAGCAACCTGCTGGTCATGGAGGGACCTGTAAATTACTGTCTTTGAAGAAAGCTGAACCGTAAGATCATCAAATTGGTACATGGACGAAGCCTTTTCCAACCGAACAGCAATATACCTAGACCTTGCTGCCCAACCACGAATGAATTTCTGAACAACAATGGCAGCATTGACTAGATCAAGATTGGATACATTAAGATTACTAACGCAATCATTTTTATGCCTTTGTTTGGTCCAAATCCTCATGGCTTTCTGGATGAGAATAACTGCTTTTCTTAGCTTGACAAATCTATGCCTGTCAACAATGAACTTGACATAACTCCCTAGGTTTTCAGATTGGTTCCACCTTTCTGCATGATTAACCAAACAAAAAAGTGAATAGTTAAATAGAATTTGCAGGGACTCGTACAAATGAACTGGCAAACAGAAGTAGGTACCACATGTAAAATCCTGAACCATGAGACTACTGAATAGCAAAAGGGCTGATTTCTTCTTCACCATTAGCCAAGCCCGAATAGCAGTTTGCAAAAAGAAGCTGCTTTTATCATCTTCAAAAAGTTACGCCGTTCAATTGATCTCCTAAAGTTTGACTGTATCACTTTTGCAGCATTTTCTGAAATAGTATTGATAACATGTCAGAAAAAAGACATTAGTGACCAGAGATGATGGTATTAGGCTAAGCAGCAATGTGCTACTTCTCATAAACTTAGATGTTCCGTCCATGAAAAGATTATTTACATAAAGGGGACAAATTTTGACTGTATCACTTCTGCAGCATTTTCTGAAATAGCATTGATAACAAGTCAGAAAGCAGTTATTAGTGACCATAGATGATGGTATCAGGCTAAGAAGCAATAGCTACGTCTAATAAAAAGATGATGAAAAGATGATTTACATAGAAGGACAAATTTAAAATTATTTAAACTGTTGCTTCAAAAAACAGAAGCTAACCATACAGCATGGTAGTTACTAATCAATTTGCAATTCAGAAAAACCTACAAACTTTAACACGGATTAAATCAAACAGGTTAAACAGGCCAATCATTGAAATTTGAATTGCTAATTGCTAACCAAGACAAACTCCTGAATTGAAATTTAAGCAGAAAGTAGAAAAAACATTGAAATCTGCTAATATTTTAGCCCTTAAGTCTTATTAATTGTATATATTGATGATATTATGATTAATGGTAGTGATGATGCTAGTATTTTAGCCCTTAAGTCTTTTCTCCATACCAAATTCCAAACAAAAGACTTGGGTTTATTAAAGTATTTCTTGGATATTGAAGTTACCAGGTCCAAAAAAGGTATTTTTCTTTCTCAACGAAAGTATATTCTTGATCTATTGAAAGAAACTGAAAAATTAAGAGCTAAACCTTCTAGTGTACCAATGGCTACTAATCTATAGCTTACAACAGATGATGGAGAGTTATTTGCTGATCCAGAGAGATATCACAAGTTAGTTGAAAAACTAAATTATCTCACAATAACTCGTCCTGATATCATATATCCTGTCAACATTGTGAGTCAGTTTATGTCCTTTCCTCGAGTTACTCATTGGGCAGCATTAGAACATATCTTATGTTATCTCAAAAGGACTCCAGAGCGTGGTTTACTCTATAGTACATGGCCATTCTAGTATTGAGTGTTTCTCAGATGCAGATTGGGTTAGATCTAAAATTGACAGAAGATCTACTATAAGGTATTGTGTCTTTGTTGGTGGAAATTTGGTGTCATGGAAAAGCAAGAAGCAAAATGTTGTGTCTCAATCTAGTGCAGAATCGGAGTATAGAGCAATGGCCCAATCCACGTGTGAACTTGGGTGGATATCTCAATTGTTAAATGAGATTGGTCTTGAAAATCCTTTTCCTATAAAATTGTGGTGTGACAATCAAGCTCCTCTTCATATCGCATCAAATCCAGTTTTTTTATGAAAGAACTAAGCACATTGAAATCGATTGTCACTTTATCCGTGAGAAAATTCAACAAGGATTGATCTCTACAAGTCATATCAGAACTGGAGAACAACTAAGTGATATCTTTACCAAAGCTTTAGGGGGTCCTAAAATTGATTATATTTGTAACAAGCTGGGCATGATTAACATCTATGCTCCAGCTTGAGAGAGAGTGTTGTAAATATAGTAAGTCAACTATAGAATTGATTCTCATGTAAATATAGTAAGTTAATTATAGGTCTAATTTCTATGAAGTTAATGATAGCTTGATTCTAGGGATTTAGACTGATAGACTGATCCTAGACTTGTATATATATGTGTTATACTTATGCACTTCAATGACAGAAAACATATTGCCCTATTCTCATATTTTTACAGTTCTCTTTTCAATTGAAATGAAAGGTCAATGAGAATACCTCTTTGAATGATGATCCCCGAATCGCTAGTTGAGTTGCACTCCAAAATAGAAGTACCAGGTTTTGTGATGAATTTGTTGTTTCGTTCTGCCATATCTTGCCACCAAGCCTTAATAGCCCTAAACTTTATAGCAGCTTCTGCATAAACAAGTTCAAATAAAAGAAAAAAAAGAGATTTTTAAAAAACTCAAGCCTTAAAACCAATGTTCTTGTTTTTGTTTCATACAACAACAAGTGAATGGTGCAAGCATATTATTTAGTTTTGGATCCTTCCTTTTAAGTCTCATTTGAAGTCAATATATCTTGTTTATCATAAGCCACATATATTGTTTGTATATGAAACAATGAAGGTAATTCTCAACCCTCTATTTCCCAATCAAAACTGAACCGAAAGAGGCAAAAGTAGTATAAATCCTTAACTTTTGTGCTTTTACAAACATTCAGTAATAAGAGGGAAATAATAAAGGATATTTATGTAATGACACACGAAACACCAAAAAGAGAACTACTACTAGATTAACGGTGGAAACCTTCTGTACTGGAGCCATCTATTATGTCTTGATCCAGCTCTGATTCGGAGATCACAGAACACCTTCCAACACTAGAATTTCTCGTCTCTTGACAATCACAACACAACAGTTTATGGAAATTCAGTTGATCCTATCAAATAGAGAAGTATTAATAAAATATATCCCGAGAGTGTTGCCCCAATCATTATCCAGTAAGAGAATTCTAGCTTTACCATAGTTTTCTTCACAGTCAACTGTGATGAGAGAAACACCAATAAAACTACCACACTTCGATGATTAATTGCACCATTATGTTCAAGAATGTCGCTGATATGAAGAACCTGTAAATACCATATATAAAGTCAAACACGTATCTTCTAATAAAAGTTCAAACATATAAATCTTTAATCTAAAAACAAGGTCACTTGTTGATACCATAAAAGGTCAATTTATCAGTTACGGACAAGCTCATCAACATCAAATTTCCAGGACTTTTAAACAGCACAAGATTTTTGCTCGAGATGTCTTTTAAAAAGGTTTTAACTTAAGAACTAAGAACTTCAACACGTCCAAATATTTACTTATTGCTTTTCAAGTTGACATGCCTCAAACATATAAATGTATTATCAGCAGTCGGCTAAGCGTTATCTGTGTAGGTAGACATTTTCTGATCCTTACCTCAGGAAAATTCCACAGTAATGTTGTCAGCTTCTGTGATAATAAAAAATTGTGGACTGCATCTGTATAGTCAATAGCTGACATAAGTGATTCTTCGCCTCTACTTTCATGAGGATCCTGTGAAAAAAGATGAAGTGATAAGAAAACATGAGAGACGAATTTGTAGAGCTTAAGAACCAATAAAACTGCAAAATATATCGTACCTTTGAAGAATAAGAACAAGAAAGTTCTTTACGGAAATAATAGTCAAGCAAACACCATATGGCTTTTCCATCAACCAATGAAGCAAAGTTATCAATTTCATGTTCATATTTTCCACAAACTGCCTGCAGAAACAATTGCAATGGTCACAAAGCACATAAAACCACCAAAAGGAGCATTAGCAAGTCAGAAAGAAATTGTTAAAAACAAAGAGGGAGAGGACTTAACATGAATAAGTGATCTCAAGAAGTGAGAAGAGGAGGCTGGGGTGGGTTGGGGTGAGGGGGAGGGGTTGGTGAGAGAATCCGTACATAGATGCAGTGGCATATATTCTATATAGCAGCTATACCTGAATCCAACTCAAAAGCAACTCCAAAGGAGAGGAACTGGGACTGATGTTGTTTGAGGAGTCCTGTGCAATAGAAAACAATGATTTCAACTTAAATATACAGCAGCTCTGAAACTGACTTGAGAAAAAGATGGAAAGATATACAGAAAACACAAGTGAAGAAAACTCAGCTACCTCTTCAAAGTTCAAAGCTTTGCTGGTTGTAAAGCTAGAAAAGGAGTAATTTTATGGAACATTTAATAAGCAAGGGGATTGAAGCATACCATTTTAACTTCATGAATTTTGAAAATTTCATTTGCTAAGGTTGTTTTGTTGAGCAGAAGAGGCAGCTGCAGAATTTGATGACAAGTTATTACCAGTCAACAATCTTAATCACTCCTAAGATATTCAGAAAAGAAACCAACATACCTGCAAGTGAACAAACATGTTCCAGAGCAAAGAAACAGTTAGCTCTTTATCTCCATTAGCAACATCATCTTCTGTGATTGTCATTCCATCTTCATCTTGCAATGGTACACCAGCACGCTTTAGATATTGCAAGGCAATGCCACAATTTGCTAGATGTTTCTTGCAGCTATCTGATGGAACCATCAATTTCTACCACATAACAAGGCCTAAGTAAGACAAATAAGGTTCAATAATCACAAAAGGTCATTTTTCTAATGAACAAGGCAAAAAAAAGGCCAACCACAAGAATAGAGGATTCATTTTGTAAGAGCTGGATGGCTCTACAAAGCCTCACTCCATCTTGAAGCTCTGCAAATAAATCTGTCACTCTGAAGTCATACTCAACGAGAGAACACTGGCAAAACAATTTTTTGTTGGCAAGTCAGCCCAATAAAAACATAACAGTGTTCACAAAATTAAACTTTGAGATGTTATTATTAATGCATAAGAGCATCTAGGCATCTAGCCCCTTTTTAAGTTTGAAGTGCAAGATTTAAAATGATGAAAATACAACACTAGCCTTTTTATCCTGAAAAACACACACATGCAAGTGCTAATAAACAAGCTACTACATGGATCGAACTACATACCTGCTGATAAGATACTTTGTAACCTACAATCACTAGATGTGCAAGAAGATTACCTTCTCCATGCATTACCTCTGATGATAAGAAATCTGGTTTTACATCAAAGAGATAAAAGTCAACCTACAATGTATAAGATGCAAAGTTATAACTCAATCTGTAAACAACCAAAATAAAGAATACTTCAAAAATTACCACTAATCATTTGATGGCTAGACTTTATACTAGACTGCACAATGAACAGGAGAGGTGAACCCCCATCTACTCCATCAATTCCATACTTTAACGAAAGACTGCTTTGCAATTTAGCTCTATCTAGAATAAGAACCAGCAGCAAAAATCTCTTCAATATAACATTTCCCAAGGACTCATAGTAACCTGGTCTATATAACCCTTCAACCTTCCTGTTATAAGCATAAGCTTTTGCTAGTCCAGCATGAGAAAGAAACTGTTTCTCTATCACCATCTTCAAGAATGATATTTCTTGATCAGAATCAACATCTCCATTGGGCAACAAGGAATCACCACCAAGAATAATATGTAATCCAATTCGAAGCCAAACTGGGCTATAGCACATGAGAATTCGCATGGCTTTCTCCTTCATGCCAACATCTGTTACGATGGGACAATGTGACCTCATTTTCAACCTCCCTTCATATATAGTCTGCAAAATGAATAGAGATATTCACTCTCAGCATGGAAAACAACAGTTCTAAAGTAAAATCACAATAAAACACATAACAAAACAAAAGATCCCCTTCTATTACACCTACTTCTTAAGTAAAATGGCATTAAACACATTCTTTTTTCTAATTAAATTCAACAAAAGAAACTGATGCTACTACTTTCTTCAACCAAATAAGCATTAAAGCACATTCATTTCCCTAAGCAATACCACCAAAACAGATTATTCAAGGCCACAGCAACTTCTTTGTCAACTAAAACTGCAATTTTTTATTATCAAGTTCAATAACAATACATAATTCCTTCCTATTACAACCCTTTACCCACTTGAAAGGGCAATAAAACATATGATTTTCCTAACTATACTGTCATTAAAGACACAATTTAACTAATCTTATCCAAAACAAATCCAACAAAACCCACAATTATATAACAACTAGTTATAATAATTCATAATAATTCAACTACTTAACTAAATTTAAACAAAACACATAATCATTCTCTAATCAACCATTAAACCCACAATTATTCCACAATTTAAAACCCAATAAAACAAACATAACTCCCTGAAATCAATCAAACAAACAAAACCCACTAAAAATGAAGAGCACCCCACAATTTTACAAACCTTAACAACAAGAACCATTGCATCAAAAACTTCCTTACAACATCCCAAACTCAAATACACCCTCATTCTCTCCATCAAATCCTCCACACTACACACTTCCTTCAATCCCTCCTTCAATTTCCCATACCTCTTCAAATTCAACACGTCACCATCATCATCCCCACCCCCTCCTCCTCCTTGCCACGTCACATCCCTACTCCTTTTCGGACTCCTCCATGTGTCACCTACCCCAGCCACCCCACCATCCCTCTTCCCCAACCCCACCACCACACTGGACCCCACCACAGGGTTGAAATTACAAGAACACCCACAAGCACTAGGGTTTTGAAAGAGGAAATTCAGCCAAGTAGTAAGAGATTTCGACAGTGATTTCAACGACTGTTCTTTCTTAATCTCTGCCTTTCGTGACGACTGTGACTGCTCGATCTCGAACGCCTTGAGTCTTCTCCGGGCCGTGGTTGTAGCAGGCTTGGGCCTGGACCTTCCTGATAAAGAAGGACGGAAGGAGGAGGAAGAAGACATTGGGGTTCGTTTGGAAGCACTGAAGAATTGAGGGCTAGGAGAAGTAAATTTGGGGACATTTGAATGGCGTTTTGGGGTTTTGAAATTTGAAATGTCTTTGAAAGGCTGCAGATACGGTGACGGACATGGCTGTTTCTCGTTAACTTCCATTGGCTGTGATTTCTAGAGAGAAAAGAGAGCTTGTTTTTGCGGTTGCAGAGACAGAGAGAGATTTTGAGAGAGAAATGAGAGGGGGAGACAGAGAGTTTGCTTTTACCCTTTGAATTTTTGAATTTGAAATGGGAGAGGAGGGAGGGGATGTTGCGAGGCACGTGAGGGGAGATTTGAGTTACGAGTTTACGAAAATGGGCTCGAAGAGTGCTCGTGCTCGTGGAGGTTTGAGGTCCGAATTCAAGTAGGGGTATTAAGGGAAGAAAAGATGGGAATAGAATGGGGACGTTAAAAAAAGAAGAGAAACCTCAATTTAGTACCTAATGTTTATTCTATTGTCAATTGAGTTCAAACATTTTTATGTTTTTCAATTTTGCTTCAAATGCAACGTCAACTCTTTGTTCATCCAAACTTGATGATAGTTAAAAGAATAACAAAACCGCTATTTAGCCTCTAATACAAAATTTTTCGACCATCTCTAGCAACGAATAGATGAAGGATGATATTGTTTAATTTCAATTACATTGAAATAAAATCAAAATATTTTGATCTAATTTAGATCAATGTAATATGTTATGAGCTAAATTAAGATTTTTTTTTTAAAAAAAAAATTATCTAATTTGTGTATACTCCTTAAAATGCTTACATCCAAGATGTCAAAATAAATCTCAATCTATCATAAAAGATAATTTTAGCATCATTGTAAATTTTTATTTTTATTTTCCTCTAATTAGTAGCTTATATTAATGGAAAATTTGGAAATTCAATACGATATGGTGCTAAAAATGTCTTTTGATAAATTGGAGTTTATTTTCATGTCTCATAAGGAAACACTTAATAAATATGTACAAATTGAATGATATTTTTTTACTATTACCAACTCGAGATGAACATTGGAGGGATGATACTACCTAATGCTGACTACGTTTGAAAAGAAAAATGATAAATTCAAAAGACCCGAAAATCAATGATAATGAGATAACATGTCAAGGGATATATTGAAATTTTCCCATGAGAAAATGAAATTTCCTTTTCTATACTATGCGACCAATTTTATTTTTTATTTTTTATTTTTTATTTTTATATGGCGATGAGGGAGTAAGTTATAAATTAGTTCCTTTAGCTTTTCAAAGGAAATTAAATATTCTCTCTAATTTTAATAATTAATAAATTAGTTTTTATGTTTTTAAATTTATTTATGACTTAATTCTTTTTATTTTTTTCAATTTATTTTATAATAAATAGAAAAAAAGTAAAAAATATAGAAAGTTTGACGAAAAAGAATATATATATATATATATATATAAGAAAATAATATTAACGGTTTCCGACCCAGCAACCGACACAGTTTCTGCTTCGACGGGTCCATCAGCCGAATTGGTTGACTCAGTGGGGAAAAGGACGGGGAGGAAAGACTTGGGATCGGTGAGGTCGTGGGAGATGAAGAGCCATGATCCTCCACGTGCCTTCTTCTTATTGGTGGGAGGGGTTGAATATAGTTTTGGTTGGGAAAGGATGGAGACAAGGACGGAGCAGGAACTGGTGGTGAAGTGAGAAGGGTGAGAGTTGATGGTATCGATGAGTGGGATTATGTGTGTATCTACTGCTCCTTTAGGTGATTTGTCTGTCTGTGAGGATGCCAGTGAGTTTAAAAGTTGTTGCTTTTCTCTTCGCAAACTCCATTTTTCTGAAACTCTTTTTTGCGTTTGTGCTGGAGAAGATGAAAGAAACCTTTCCTTCCTGTAGGAGAGAAGAAAAAGGGGTTTAGGAACATTTTAGGGTTTTGGGATTTGGGCCTAGTTAATGCTTCTGTCTTTGGGCTCTGTTTGGTAGGGATTTTAGGGCTTTGTTTTATAAAAATGTGTTAGCCCAAGGAGGTAAGTAATGAGGCAGAGCATGAAGGCATGAGCTACAGGCACAGCCTAGAGATGGAAAGGGAAAGCCAAACCTGCAGGCTGCAGGCACTCCGTCTCTCTCTCTCTCTGTCTCATGAATTATTATATTGTCTATCTGTCCAATTCGCTACCCATGGAGTTTGCATTGCTGTTGTGATGATGGGGGCAAAATGGCTGCTTTTTGGATGGTAAGAAGGAGGGAGTTACTGTGTTTTATTTCAAGCATTTTGATTTTTTTTCTTTCATTTTATTCGAAATGAATTGTGGGAATTTTTTATTTCTTCAGCCAAATTCGAAAATAATTAGGAGCAATGATGCCTTGATGAACTTGTAACGGTCATGGAACGTAGGAGGACTACTGGCTGCATAGTTTTCCCAGTATTCTATGATGATCCATCCCAAGTCAGAAAGCAAACAGGGAGCTTCGCTACAGCATTTGTGGAAGAAGAAAAGCAATTCACGGAGGAGATGGAGCGGCTGGATGGGCGGAGGATTGCTTTGAAGGAAGTTGCAGATTTAGCAGGAATGGTTTTAGGAGATGGGTAAGTTGTATCTCTTGATGAATCTTCCTTTAAATAGCATAACACTAGAATGCTGGTTGTGAGCTCCTCATTTGTTCAGTTTTTTGAAGTTGAGCAACCTTTGCATGCTTAATGCAAATTAGAATTTAGAGGATGACTAACAATACCACTCCCAACTTAGAAAAAATAGAAGAAAAATAGATTTATGCAAGGGAAAAAAGATTTCTTTTTGTCCGATTCTGTTCTTTTCCGTCCAGTTACATTAAAAAAAAAAATTGAAAAAGTAATGATTGCTACAACAATCCATTTTAGTTCCAACCAAAGTTTGAACTTCAAAATTAGCAATCAATTATTGAAACTAACTTCATTTAATTATTATTAGTATTTTTTTTTCTACTTTCCTCAGAGACTACCTGACTGTTTGGTGGATTGTGATTGTCACTACACTTCACCATATGAGCAAGTACCTCTCGTAATTAATGCATGCTTATTGTGCTTTTGTTTCTACTTTGACTATGACATTTAGCATGAGGCACAGCTTGCCCAATCTATTGTGGACAAGGTCTTAAAGAAACTGGATCGAATGATATTTCATGTCCCCCTTCATTTGATTGGAAGAGCTTCTCTGATAAATTATATCAACTCATGGCTGCAAGATGGGTCCCATGGCGCTGCCATTGCTATACTCTGTGGAATTGGTGGAGTTGGGAAGACGACTATAGCAAAGAGTGTTTATAACCAGAACTTCCATGAATTTGAAGGTAGGAGCTTTCTAGCTAATGCTAGGGAAAGGTTAAATGAATCCAATGGTTTAGTTCGCCTACAAAGACAGCTTTTGTCTGATATTCTACACAAGATTGTTAACGAGATACATGATGTAGATGAAGGAATTTTAAAGATTAAGGACGCAATTTTTTGTAAAAGAGCACTTATTGTTCTCGATAATGTGGATAAAAGGTACCAACTCAATGCAATAATTGGCATGCAAAATTGCCTTTTTCGAAGAAGTAAAATCATTGTAACAACTAGAAATAAGGGTTTGATTATGGTTCAAAATGAGAGTATCAAGTGCGAAGTTAAACCTCTAGATAACAAAGAGTCACTTGAGCTTTTCAGCTGGCACTCCTTTGGACAAGCACACCCCATTTAAGATTTTTGTAGAGCACTCCATTAGAATAGTACATCATTGTAATGGACTCCCCTTAGCCCTTTGTGTTATCAGTTCTTCGTTATCTGGAAAAAGAATGAAAGTGTGGAAAGGTGCATTACAGGAAATGGAAGTGATCCCGAATTGTGAAGTTCAAAAGGTTCTTAGAGCAAGTTATGACTCTCTTGATGATGAATCTCAGAAGAACTTATTCCTTGATATTGCATGTTTCTTCAATGAAATGGATGAAGATTATGTAGTAAGGATACTAGAAGGGCTCGGTATCGGTGCAACGTTTAGGATTGACAATCTCATTGATAGATGGATTTTAGAAGTCGACAAAGACAGAAGGTTATGGATGCATCAAATCATAAGAGACATGGGAAGGGAAATTGCTCGCCAAGAATCACCTAACTGTAAAAGAATCTGGCATCACATGGAAGCTTTTACAGTATTGAAGGAAGCTACTGTAGGTATCTTATTTCTTTTGTCTATCTACATGATTTTAGGTGTTTTATCATTTTAATTCTTCTACTTTCCTTTTCTCATGTGCTTTTAATAATTTTGAAGCAAGATACTGAAACAGTGCCTGGCCTTACCTTGGACATGCATCTGTTAATGGAAGACAATTATACAAAAGTTGTTTGCAGTGAAGATCCATTAGAAAACTCAATGGTATGCCACCAACATAACTTGTTTGAACCATGTCGTCTTCTTGGATTCTTCTCTTGGGAATATTGGCTTCCTAACTTTTTCTTGGGGGAACAATTGCAAACTGGCCAAACAAGTTTGTTTCCCGTCCTCGGCATGGATGCATTGAGAAAGATGCAAAATGTAATATTCCTCCGACTAAATTACTTGAAGTTGGATGCAAACTATGAACAGTTTCCCAAAAGTTTAACATGGTTATTTTGGCGTGGATTCTTTTTGAGATCCATACCAAAGTACTTCTGCTTGGAGAAGCTTGTGGGATATTTTTAATATTGAGATATTTATAAATAGTCACAAATGAATACAAAAAGTAACAAATGAGAATGTGTAATTCATCAAAATTAAGGAGAGAGAGACAGAAAATTAAACATCCTCACCAAAAGTCAACTTGAGCTTCGGTCTTCGGACATTCTTCTGGAGAAAGGGGAGGAGATGGCTGGGCATTCACAACTTCAATCACTTCCAGATTTACAAGCAACGGAAGACAAATTGGCATCCTCTTTAGCTTCGGACAATACCTTACTTCAATTTTTTCTAGAGAATCGCATCTCAGTGTTGCACTACAAATGCTTTTCAGTTCTGGCAAATCACGCAAAACCATACGCTTTATCTTTGGGAGACTGAATTCTTCAATCACTTCATCGCTTCTTGCTATTATCTCCTCCATTTCCGCACAATGTTCAACTTCAATCACTTCCAGATTTACAAGCAACGGAAGACAAATTGGCATCCTCTTTAGCTTCGGACAATACCTTACTTCAATTTTTTCTAGAGAATCGCATCTCAGTGTTGCACTACAAATGCTTTTCAGTTCTGGTAAATCACGCAAAACCATACGCTTTATCTTTGGGAGACTGAATTCTTCAATCACTTCATCGCTTCTTGCTATTATCTCCTCCATTTCCACACAATGTTCAACTTCAATCACATCCAGATTTACAAGCAACGGAAGACAAATTGGCATCCTCTTTAGCTTTGGACAATACCTTACTTCAATTTTTTCTAGAGAATTGCATCTCAATGTTGCACTACAAATGCTTTTCAGTTCTGGTAAATCACGCAAAACCATACGCTTTATCTTTGGGAGACTGAATTCTTCAATCACTTCATCGCTTCTTGCTATTATCTCCTCCATTTCCGCACAATGTTCAACTTCAATCACTTCCAGGTTTGGCAACAAGACAGGTGGGAACAGCTTCTTTATACTTGGACAGTAACTACAATAAAACTCTTTAAGACCAGAAAATATACCCTTAGATGGAGATGGTGGTGGAGCAGAGCAGAACCAAGAAGATGAAACCAAGCTCTCCATGCTACTGCAATTCCAAATCTTGATGACCTCCAGTTCAGTTGCATACTTTAATGAGGAAACATCACATAAACTCCTTGCATCATTACAACTCAGAATCTCCAATTTTTGAATCTTATGCAAACGAACAATTCTTGTACAAGTCATCTCTACTTCACAATCATCATTACGTACAAGAATTTTGCATGTGCTTGGTGATTGGATTGTATCTCGAGATTTGAGATACTCTACGAAGTCAGAGAGACCTTCAAAACAGCATTCCAGAGTTTCCAACTTCCTCAAGCAAGCTACTTCCTTTCCTTTAACTCGTACCGAAAAAGCATATCTCCTAAAAAATCGATCATCTATTAATAATAAGACCTGCAGGTTAGGGAGTTTAGGTAATATCCCACTTGGAAGCTCCATTTTACGACCTCCACCCAGTCTGAGATACCTCAAGTCGGATAGACAATCCATGCCTTGAGGCACATTTTCAAGTACAGTTCCCGTGAGATCTAACCTCTTCAGTGCCCTAAGCTTTTTCAATGATGGTACATGCCTTAATCTGCAACAACTTTTGAGCAATAATGCATTGAGACTCGTCAAATTAGAGACAGAATCTGGCAATTTTTCAATAGCTGTATAAGACAGATCAAGAACCTTGATCCCATGCAATTCATTGAAAAAAGAATCTGCAATAAAACTCAACCAGTCATTAGAACCTAACAGCAAGGTTGAAAGACTTGGACATCTTGGTGAATAGCTAAAAGGAATTTCCTTGAACCGACCCGGCATAAAAGAGACTCTCACCAGATCCTCTTTCCACTTATCCACATCTGGTAATTCTTCACTAACCATGACGGAAGACTTCGTTAGCAGTATTTGGTGGGCCATGTCCCTAATCAAGTCATGCATCTTGACAGCTCTTTCACCATCATAAAGACAACTTTCCAATAAGCAGAATTTTTCAAGTTTATTAAGCATCGTATGGCCCTCATCAAATTCTGCCTGTCTGCTCTTCATCTCTTCTATTATTTCCTCATCTATCAAATAACCTATCAAATCCTCCCTAGGAATCTCATAATCTTCTGGAAATAATGCACAATATAAGAGACATTGTTGTAGTGCAAAATCATTTAAGCGATCATAGCTATACTTCAATACTCCAAATACCTTATCCTCCATCTCTCTACATCTTAATTGTTTCAATTTATCCATTGTATTCCTCCACTCATGTAGGTCATCCACTCCCCTCATGCTTCCTGCCATTGTAATAATTCCCAAAGGCAAACCAGCACACTCTCTCGTGATAGATTTTGCAATTTCCTCAACTTCAGGAGAGAGCATTTCATCATGTGCAAGTTTCTCCTTGAACAACGTCCAAGCTTCTTCTTCAGATAGACCTCGCACTTTGATTGTGCGTATACGCTTCATCGTTTGACAAACTTTCAAATTTCGAGTTGTCAGAATCAGCTTGCAACCTTCCTTTGGGAGAGGAATTCCCACCTGATCTAGCTCAAAAGAGTTCCACAAATCATCTAAAATGAGAACCCATGTATCTTTCTCCTTTAGTTTTTCTGACAATATGGCAGCTCTGCACAGCTCATCTTCTTCTTTTGTAAGGTCTGCACCAATACGATTAGCGATAACATTCTGCAATCTATTAATGCTGAAGTTTTGCGACACAGTAATCCAGTAAGCACGCAGAGAAGTGTCTTCACTTTCAAGAAGCTGATTATAAATATGTTTCAGCAATGTCGTTTTACCGACTCCCCCATTCCATAAATGCCAATAGTCGAGACCTCATCATTCATTAACCAAGACCAGATTAAATTCTTATTCTTCTCAAATTCTCGACCCACCAGCTTTGTAGAGCCAGTTGGAAATGCATATCCTCTAGTCTCATTTGTGTTACCACGAAGCCCTCCAGAAGAGCCAGCACCTGGAACTAAGCCTCCAGTCCTGTCCTCTACAGCTGTTTCATCCATCAACTGAGATTCAATGGTCCTAATTGTTGCCATTCTTGCAATTTCCTCCCAATTTCTTCCCTCTAGATCCACTTGCCAAGCACTTTCTCTGGACTCATTTGCATCAACCATAAGCCTCTCTGGAGAGAAACTTCTGTCAACAGGCTGGGCCATTCCTAATTCCGCAGTTGAAGTAGTTCTCTGTCTTAACACACTGTGTTCCATGCCCTGAACCTCCATTTGCATCCTTCCTACATCTCCTGCCGAATTATCAACTCCATTGCTCTGTTCCAACACTTGACAAGTTGGAACGGCATTATTAATAGTTCCGCTGGAACTACCGATGCTTTTATGCCTTTTGTTGCCACCTTGCATAGCTAGAAAGGCTGCTTCTTGAACTTCTTCAGGCACTTGTCCACAAATCGCAACACCATGACCTCTGTCTCGTGATAAATGCCATTTGATCCTCGAAATCGAAGTATCCTTGGCAAATGGATGCCGACAAAACTTACACTTGAAACTACCATCATCCATCTCTTGCACATCATTCCAAAATGGATCATTCGATCGAACCATTTTTCTCCTCCTCCTTCAATGAGGCCTGTAGAAAAAGAAAATATATACATTACTGTCAAAATATTGAATACAAATTTAATGGAAGTAAAATTAATTGGGAAAAAACATGCTAAATCTAAAATTATAAGTTAAAAGACATCGAAAAGATTATTAAAAAAAAAAAAAAAAAGAAGTAAAACCAAAGTCTTCAAACTATTAATAACTGAGGAGGGAGATCACTTTGGTAAGTATTTATTTTTTCAAACTATTGATTAGAGATTAGACAATTCTAGTGCTTGAAAGAATCAAATGATATATCTATATATAGAAAACAGCATGCTACAAAAAAAAAAAAAAAAAAAAAAAAAGGATTACCTGTACCTGCAAAATATTCTGCAACTAAGTACTGGTTTTGCTCAAATCAGACATGGAATAGAAAGAAGAGAGAGAGATTGGATAAGAAAATGGAGGTGAAGAAAGCTGATAAGGGATAAAGGACGTTGAATAACGCAGTTCCCCTTTACTTTCCAAGAAGTTGCTGTCCTTTTTCCTACTATTTTAAATTTGGGTAAATTATAAACTAGTCCCTTCAGTTTTTTAAAATAAATTAAATAGTCCCTTCAGGTATAAAAACTAATTAATTAGTTCCTTATTTTTAAATGTATTTATAACTTAACCTATTTTATTCTTTTTCAATTTATTTTGATTTTCTGATTTAAGAAATAGCAAAAAAAAAAAAAGTAAAAAAATGAAAAGATCGATGAAAGAAAATGTTTTTTTGAAAAAAATAACATTGATCAATTAATTAGTTATTGAAAAAAACAAAGAACTATTAATTCATTTTGTAAAACTAGGGGGATTAACTTATAGTTTACTCCAAAATAGATGTAAAAATTTGTCACAACTTTGACAAATTCTGTTTTTCTTTCTTCTTCTTCTTCTTCTTCTTTTTTTTTTTTTTTTTCCCTTTTTTGACTTTTCTTTTTTCTTTTTTCTTTTTTTCAAATTTCAGATATACCCTTTGACTATTGAAAGAATATCAAATTTACTTACAAGTAAATTTTTGTTATCTATCATACCTTCAATAATTTAGATTTCTCAATTGGATCCTTAGGTCATTACTTGACGGAAAATGTTTAGAAATTGATACATCCTAAGTTCTGCTTTTGGACTAAGCAAAATGTTAGCCTGGGCTAATTCTTCTTGCGTCAATCTCACAACTTCACAGATAATTGTGTACGCTGGAACGAAGTAAGGAATATGAGAAGCAACACTGAACTGGAATAAAAATAGCAGAAACAAGTTCAATTCATGGAATATCAGAAGAGACTAATGTTTTTCTTTCTCTTAATAAGTTGAATAATTTTGTTACAAGAAGGCATTGCAGAAACTAGAGATTTATAGAGAATCAATGAATAAATTTGATACAAATATTCAATCATAGGCCTATGGATCAGAAGACATGTAGTGTTGTAATGAAGGAGCTAAACATCAATAGCTTTAGATAAGATCACATGCAGAGTCTGCAATAGCAGTAGAATTTGAACGGAGAACGCAGAAATAGTAACAAATAGGAATCAGCAGCCATATACTTGCAACCCCTGCAGCTCCAAAATGAACGAAGCAGCACATTGATCTATATCCTTGACAGGAGTTGAATTCCAAAGGAGAAGCTAATAAACTCCAGCCACAGAATCTTTACCCACCAATCCAACAAGGATTCTAGACATTGTCTTCTGGTTTAAATAGAACCCTTCATGCATATCTGTCCCATATATAAGGTAATACATAAAAGTTCTTCAGCAGCGAAATTTTAGTGTCGCGAGGCTTTTCAAATAGATTGTGTGTACTATGGGTGAGAATTAGTACCATGAGAGCATGCACTATATCCCATCACACCACCAAACTAAGAAAAGGCTTCAAATCAGTGGCATGTTTGAAGGATAAAACAGAGGGAAAATTGATAAAATAGAACCTGGGTGACACACCAAATTCTCTCCTCCTCCTCCTTTTTCTACTACTAATATTTCTAGTTTCTACAGTTGCTGGGCTATTTGATACCAAAAGTTCCGCGTACTATATATTTTGGAGTAATCCTCTTGAACACTGAAATAACAAGTTCTCCTCTGTGCATGAAACCAAGTAATATATATTCCTGGCATGTGAATGAATCTGCATTCGTTCAACAAATGCAGCTATATATGCGCTGCATGCATTTCTTCAACAAAGGATGCAGAGCATTTCTTCAACAAATACTGCTATACATCCTGCACTTTTGTTTTTAATTCAAAAGTAGTGGATCTCACACATATGGACAGGATCCATCAGATGTTGAGTTTGATAATGGTGATGAATTGGGTGTTTCAGTGCATGCATATGTGCCAGGCATTCAAATAAGAACGGTTGGAGTACGGATTATGTATGAAGGGGAAGGAAATAATCACAATATACAATCAAACAATGAAGTGGTCACAGCCTACAGCAGCCCAGCAAACAATGAAGTCGTCATAGCCCACAACTGGAGCTCCTCTTGGGACAATCAAGCAGTCGGTGATGGACATGTTGCAAAAGCAGAAATAGCTTCTCCAGTTTTCAGAACTTATTATTGTAATGCCAGTTCTAATGAGTCAATGTATAGTTGCGCATTTTAGAGGAAATATTGAGGAAACTGATAGCTTGAAATGAACAATTAGAGATTAGAACCATTCCAGTGCTGATATAACAGTAAGACAAATATTCTTCTGCAACTGTTACTGCCACCCTGCATAATTTTTATTTGGTTTCTGGCTTGAAGTTCAATCCTTAGAAAAGTGAGCTGTTTTGTTCAGGGGTTTCATGTGACAGAATTAATGCTCTTCAATCTATTTCTGGTTTCAAATCAGGAGAGCTTCCAGTTCGATATTTGGAAATTTGAGATTTGGTGACTGAAAGGCTTTGTTGGATAAAATTACAGCCAGACTTCATGAATGGGCATCTAAAGGCATCTCTTTTGCAGGCAGATGACAACTTATCTCTTTTGGTGCTTAGCATCCAAAATAACTGGTGCTCAATGTTTGTTCTTCCTGTATCAGCAATCAAAGCTAAGGATGGGCTTGCCTATGATGCTAAAGTCTCTTTGGTAAATGTCACTCTTCCAAAGCAAGATGGTGGTTTGGGTGTTAAAAAGTTGAGAAAATGATAGCTTGAAATGAACAATTAGAGATTCGTATAAGAGATACAGAAGTTTCAAAGTCAGAAACTTGACATTTGTTTCTTTTAAAGACAAAAACTTGAGCCTGCAATTTTACAATACCTCAAGACAACTAAGTAACTTGCATTATAAAAAACACAAAAAATTAATCGAAAAGGAAAGTGAAACCAAATGATTAAAAAAAAACCCTATTCAGAAGGCTTAAAGCTTTACTATAACCTCAACACAGTTGACTTAAAGCTTAAAGGCAGAGTATAGATTAACTAACGATCCAGAGCATCAACCACAGCTCTGAGAAAAAGGAAAGTGAAACCTGTAGGTACTCTCTCTCTTTCTCCTCTATGATATTATGTAATGTAAATGCAATTTGAATGAGTTGGTGATTCTGTGGAATACCAGAGTTGAAGGTTGGTCCATGTACTGAGTTTGGACAAAATTAAAGCTTCTAAACTCCCTCTAAAGAGGCTTAATCTGACATGTTATGGTGACTTCTCTGAAAGGGTAGATATTGCTAGAAGTGCTCTTCATAATTCCCAACCTATCCAAAACCGTTTTCTTCTACTAAAAAAAACAACCTCACATACTCCTTTGACACCAAAATCCTATCTCTATCACCCAATGTGAAGTAAGAAAGGTGAGGTTGCTACTTGCCAGTAAGAAGGGTAAGAGAATATGAAATAAACCCTTCTTGTGTGACAGAAGAAAATGGGTTTCAGGAAGATTTTAGGATTTGGGCCTAATTAATTGTCCATTAACCTTTTGCTTGGGCTCTAATTGCTAAGGATTTTCAAACATAGGCAAGTAGACTTAAAGCTTAAAAGATTCTTAGCCCTGATCACCAAATGAATAAAAAAAACCCTTTGCACAAGACTCATAACCTCAACCCGGTTGACTTAAAGCTTTATAACAAAGTATGGATTAACTGATGAAACAGAACATCAACCACAGCTCTGAGAAAAAGGAACTGAAACCTGCAGGTACACACACACTCTCTCTCTCTCTCTCTCTATTTCTCATGTATTATATTGTGAAATGTAATTCTTTGGAAACTGATTTAAATGCTATTGGCTATTAGTCTCATCTCGTCACATCTAATGGGTTGTTTTCTTTTATAAGATGTGATCAACTTGTGTGCTTTTATAAACTTTAAGCTTGTATACTCAAATGGGCTTCTTCGTTGACTTTTATTTCCTGCTCCTTTTGTGCTTGCAAATGCGTGTTAGCAACTGCTGATAATATGTACAGGTCGAAAACACTAAGGTTTCTCTGAAAAATATTTAAAAGAAAAATTAAAGATAGTATATGAACACTCCAAAGTAAAAATAGTTAACTAGGTGTTATCGATCTTGAAATATCTCTTCTTTGCATGTTTTCAAATTTAAGGAGCATTATTCTTTCGATATTAGTTCTGCATTTTTGTTCTCATTCGCTCAGATCTTGGAAATTTTTCTCTTTGGATCAGAAGTTGTAAACTAATAAAAATAGTGGATTTACTTTAATAAGCTTTTTTGGATTACAAGATGTGATTAACTTGAACATTTTAGGCTCGTAAAGGGAAATGGGCATCTCATGTAATTTTTGTTCTTGTAAATGAACAAATATTCCTTTGAAGACCAAGGGAGAGTTGATCGGTGGAAAATAACTTGAAAAATGTTAAAAAGAAAAGGATAAGATAAAATACAAATGCTTCAAATAATTGGAATGTCTCTTCTTCGTAGGTGTGCAAATTTTAGGAGCATTACTCTTTTGATATTAATCCTGCACCTTTTCTTCTCAATTGTTCAGATGTTTGAAAATTTTCTCTCTGGATTTGGAATGGCTTTTTAGAATTTGGGATTTGGGCCTAATCAATACTTAATTGTCCATTAAATTTGTCATTGGGCTCTGTTTGATAAGGATTTTCGAATAATAAATCCAGCTTCCGATAATAAGATTATTGAAGCAGTTTGACTTGGAGCATAACCGATGAAGAGCATCAACCACAGCTTAGGGAAAAGGGAAAGTGAAACTTGCAAGTACACAATCTCTCTCTGTCCCATGTCATTCTTTTGAACTGATGTAAATGGTGTCTGCTTTAGTTTTTCTTTTCTTTGTTGAGAATCATATAATTTTATTAGTTCTGCTTGGAGATTGATCAGAAGTAATATACTAATCAAAGTTCTTTTTGTGGAGGATCACATAATAATTATAATACCAAAATTTCTTACTACAACTTATTGATCTGATCTCATAAAGCCATTCGGAAAAAGAGACGAGAACCCAATAATTGATTTTGTTAGTTCTGCAATGAAATTGAACAGAAGTAGTAATTGATTTATTTTAATTCTTGGGTTATACAAAAGGATTATAAGATGTGATCAAGTTGCGTTCTTTTCTAAATTTTCAAGATTGTATTAGCCAAATTGACATCTTCGTTGAATTTCATTTCCTTCTCCTTTTGTGCTTCTAATTGTTTGTAGCAAGTTCTGATGATATGTGAATGTTGAAAACACAACCATTCCTCTGAAAGAGCTGGAGTTGATTGGTGGGAAACAACTTGAAAAATGCCTAAAAGAAAAAGGTAAGATAAAATAAATACTCCAATTTGGTTCGATCCATCTTGGGACATGTAAACAAATTTAAGAAGACAATGACTTGAAAATTCTCTTCTTTACAGGTGTACAAATTTGAGGAGCATTATTGCTTCACCGTTTTCTCCTTGTAAAAATCAAGTGTTCTTGAGTTTTAGGGGCAAAGACACTCGCAAGAATTTTACTGATCACCTCTATGCAGCCCTGGTTCAAGCAGGGATTCACACATTTAGAGACGATGATGCAATTCGGAGAGGAGAAAATATAGATTTGGAGATTGAAAAAGCAATACAAGAATCGAAACTATCGATAATTGTTTTCTCAAAAGACTATGCTTCATCAAGGTGGTGCCTCGATGAACTTGTAATGATCATGGAACGTAGAAGGACTGCTGGATGCATAGTTTTGCCGGTGTTCTATGATGTGGATCCTTCCCAAGTCGGAGAGCAAACAGGGAGCTTTGCTAAAGCATTTGTGGAACATGAAAAGCACTTCAAGGATCAGATGAAGCGGGTGAATGGATGGAGGATTGCTTTGAAGGGAGTTGCAGATTTAGCAGGAATGATTTTAGGAGATGGGTAAGTTGTATCTCTTGATGAATCTACCTTAAGATAGCATAACACGAGAATGCTGGTTGTGAGCTCTTAATTTGTTCAGTTTTTGAAGTTGAGCAATCTCTGCATGCTTAATGCAAATTAGAATTTAGAGAAAGTAGAAGAAAAATAGAAGACAATAGATTTGTGCGTGGAAAAAAAAAATGAAAACATAATGATTTCAACAATAATCCTTTTTTAGTTCCAACCAAAGTTTGAACTTTGAAATTAGCAATCAATTATTGAAACAGAAATTCATTTATTGTTATTATTATTTTCTATACTTTGCTGAGACACTACCTGACTGTTTGGTGGGTCGTGTACCTCTCATAATTAATGTATGCTTATTGTGCTATTGTTTCTACTTTGACTTTGACGTGTAGGTATGAGGCACAGTTTGTCCAATCTATTGTTGAGAATGTCTCAAAGAAACTGCATCCATTGATATTTCACGTCCCCCTTCATTTCATTGGAAGAGATTCTCTGATAAACTGTCTCAACTCATGGTTGCAAGATGAGTCTCATGGCGCTGCCATTGCTATAGTATGTGGAATTGGTGGAGTTGGTAAGACAACTATAGCAAAGAGTGTTTATAACCAGAACCTCAATAAATTTGAAGGTAGGAGCTTTCTAGCTAATGTTAGAGAAAGGTCAAACGAGTCCAATGGGTTGGTTTGCCTACAAAGACAGCTTCTATCTGATATTCTAAACGAGACTGCCAATGAGATACATGATGTAGATGAAGGAGTTATAAAGATTAAAGATGCAATATGTGGTAGAAGAACACTTATTGTTCTAGATAACGTGGATAAAAGGGACCAACTCAATGCAATAATTGGCATGCAAAATTGGCTTTTTCAAGGAAGTAAAATCATTGTAACAACTAGAAATAAACGTTTGATTTCGGTTCAAGATGAGTGTATCAAGTGCGAAGTTAAACCTCTAGATAATGAAAACTCACTTGAACTTTTCAGTTGGCACGCCTTTGGACAAGCACACCCCATTGAAGATTTTGTAGAGCGCTCCAAGAGAATAGTAAGTCATTGTAATGGACTCCCGTTAGCCCTTCGTGTTATTGCTTCTTCATTGTCTGGAGAAAAAACAAAAGTGTGGGAAAGCGCATTACGGGATATGGAAGTGATCGCTAATTGTGAAGTTCAAAAGGTTCTGAGAGCAAGTTATGACTCTCTTGATGATGAATATCAGAAGACCTTATTCCTTGATATTGCCTGTTTCTTCAATGGAATGGATGAGGATTATGTAGTTAGGATACTAGACGGGATTGGTATCGGTGCAACGTATAGGATTTACAATCTCATTGATAGATGTCTTTTAGAAATCGACAAAGATGGAAAACTGTGGATGCATCAACTCGTAAGAGACATGGGAAGGGAAATTGCTCGCCAAGAATCACCCAAATGTCAAAGAATATGGCATCACATGGAAGCTTTTACAGTATTGGAGGGAACTACTGTAAGTGCCTCATTTCTTTTGTCTATCTACAGAGAAATTATCTGTTTTAACATGTTAATTCTTTTACTTTCCTTTCTCATATACTTTTAATAATTTTGAAGCAAGATATTGAAACAGTGCGTGGCCTTACCTTGGATATGCGTTTGTTAATGGAAGACAACCGTAGAAAAGTTTGCACCGAAGGTTCGTTAGAAAATTCAATGGTACACCACCAACATAACTTGCTTGAACCATGTCGTCCTCCTGGATTCTTCTCTTGGAAATATTGGCTTCCTAACTTTTTCTTGGGGGAGCAAGTACAAACTACCCAAACAAGTTCGTTCCCTGTCCTCGGATCGAGAAAGATGCAAAACCTAAAATTCCTCCAACTAAATTTCTTGAAGTTTGATGGAAACTATAAACAGTTTCCCAGGAGCTTAATATGGTTATGCTGGCATGGATTCTCTTTGAGATCCATACCAAAGTACTTCTGCTTGGAGAAGCTTGTGGTTCTTGATCTATCTAGAAGCAGTCTAGTTGATGTTTGGGAAGGAAAAATGGTATGTTGCTAATCTCTCTCGCTCTCGTTCTCGTTCTCTTCCTCACTTGTATGAACTTTCAATTGATAACAACTAAATTCATGTTTTTTTTTCCTTTTACAGTCTTTTCCAAAATTGAAAATCCTTGATCTCCGTCACTCGTATGATCTCATTAGAACCCCAGATTTCTCTGGTCTTCCGGTTCTTGAAATGCTAATACTTGAAGATTGCATCCATTTGGTTCGGTTTCATGAATCTATTGGAGATTTACAAAGCCTCTTAATCCTAAATTTGAGAAACTGTAGAAGTCTTGTAGAGCTTCCAGAAGAAGTGAGTAGATTGAATTCACTTGAAAAACTTGTCTTAGATGGTTGCTCAAATCTTGATGGCCTGAATATGGAGTTAGAGCAGCTTCAGCAAAGATGGTTGCTTCAAAGTGATGGAGTTGCTGCAAATACATCAAACATTGCAGCTATGGCGTTGAAGTTATTCTTTGGCTCTTGGTTTTCAACAAGGAAAAAATCGAGATTTACCACTTTTCCATTGCCATGTTCCTTGGTGGAGCTGAATTTAGATGGAACTCCAATTCGTTCTCTACCAGAAAGCATTAAGGGCCTCAGTACACTCAATTACCTTAATTTAAGAAAATGCCAAATGCTTGAGACACTCCCGGAGCTTCCATCTAATTTGCTATTTGTAGATGTGTCCAGTTGCTATTCACTACAAAGAGTTACAAATCTAATCGATATCATCATTCAAGAGGATTGTGATCAATTAGTTCAAGTCCAAGATTTGATTAAGCTAGAATTGATCCAAAAGTTTGACTTGCACATGTTGAGAATAGTGGAGACAGTCTGTCTTCAGATAAAGCCTTCGTCATTTCAGGTCTTTACTTGCCCATTTTATTGCAATTCAACTCTATATTTCAAACCATTTATTTTACAGATTCTTCTTTGATGGTGCAGATAACACTGAAGGACGACATATTCATTGTTTTACTTCAAGGATATGAATTTTTATGTTTTTACGAGGAAGAAGATGAGTGGCTACTTCAGAGTGAGTTTCAAGAGTTATCATTCAAAATATCCTCACCTTCTGAGCACCAGATATGTGGTTTTAACTTCTTCATTAGTTGTTTTGCTCTATCAGAATTCAGTTCCATACCTACTATTGATGTAGATATAAAAAACAATACCAAGGGAAAAAGCATGGTTTTTAGCCCCAACCATGTTCTAAGAACATCTGGCGTATATGGTAAATTCTTAATATTAAGCCATTGGAAATGTGGGGGTGAGTTTGATAATGGTGATGAAGTGAGTGTTTCAGTGCATACCTACGAGCCAAGCATTCAAATAGACATGTTTGGAGTACGAATAATGTATGAAGAGGAAGGAAACAATCATAATATCCAATCAAACAACGAATTGGTCACAGCCTACAGCAGCTCAGCAAACAATGAAGTCGTCATAGCCCACAACGGCAGCTCCTCTTGGGACAACCAAGGTTTTGGTGCTGGAGATGTAGCAAAAGCAAGTATAGCTTCTCACCTTTTTAGAAATTATTATTGTGATAGCCGTTATAATGGTTGTGACGAATATACTTGCATTTTTCAGAAGAAATATAGAGGCAAGAGAGCAATGTTAGCTTGAATTGAACTATTAGTATATTATGTACTTGTATTGTATTTCAGTGCTGATAACTTGCAAATGTCGGTATTCTATGATGTGGATCTCCACTTTCTGTATCATCAAAACTCGACAATTTAATCAAAATTACCAATAGGAGAATCCCCATTTGCTGTATACATCAGGGATGAAGGGATATTACTTGTGGTGTGTTGATCTGAAGTCACCTAAGTTTATTACTAGCAGGGATGTGACTTTCGATGAGTCTGTCATGTTTCACAACGAAAAGAGTTGACTGATGTTAATGTTGGAAAGATCTTAGGTACTAGCAAACTGGTAGAGCTTGAGGTTAGAGCTTCTGATACAATGCAAGAAGACACATCAGTTGAGCCTGTTGAGTAAGAGGTGTAAGATACAATTGAGGAAAATGCACCTGAAGAACAACCGAACAGTATTGCTACAGGAAGGTAGAGACGACATATAAAAGCGCCAAGTATGGCTATACTCATTAACTTTGCCTTGAATATTGTAGAGCCTTGTTCTTATAGAGAGGCTATTTCTTGCAAAGAATCTTTTTAGTGGATACTTGCTATGAAAGAGAAGATTGAGTCTCTTTATAAGAATCAGACATGGGAGCTTGTTAAACCACCGCTATGGTCTGCAAGATTTATTATGTTTTTATGTATTGATTTATTCTTCATTATGTTTTTCATAAATTTTATAGGTAAAAAACATGATTTTTTATTTTTTATGTATTAATTTTTTAAATAAGAACTTGTAATAATTTAAATAGAATAATTAATCCAAGATTTTAAACAATACCTCCATAATATATATATATATATATATATATATATGCGCGCACATCATCAAGCATTTGTTATTAAATTTTTTAAGCTCTTAAAATCAATTTTTTTTGAATAAAATTATTAAAATAATATTTTAGGAGAACCATAAAATAAAATGATTCAAATATAGGATTCGGAGGAGGACCACGGACGTGTCCTGGATATGAATTTGCAAGACTTGAATCTCTTATTAATATACATTAGCTGGTGAACAGGTTCACATGGAAGCTCTGTCGCCCAGGGATTTCTTTTTACAGAGAACCATTTCCAACTTTCAACGTTGGGCTAGAGATAGAAATTGAACCAAAGATCCCTCTGTAAAAGATAAAGTAAATTTAGATTTTTTTCAGAGAATCATTTCCAATTTCCTCTGGTTTGACATATTTGTAAGACTTATTTGCATTGGCTGTCTTACACTAACACTTGAGGAAATTTAGATTTTATAACTTGGTAAAGGCCAAAAGCTATCATGGGCCAAACCCGGAAGGGAAATACAAAAAAAGAGAAAAATTTGACAGAAATCACTCAAGTGGATGTCAAATTACAAAGAACCACATAACTTCCATAAAACCAATTGTTAACACACAATCTCTATGGGAACATCTCCGAAAAAAACAATAAAGCACAAGGTCCTGTAAAATGAAACAAGGAAAAAAGAACAGGTTCCTGAAATGAAGGAGAGGATCATGTGTTTGTTGGGTGAAGCTAATCGTGCGAGGAAGTCAAGGCTAAGATGTCCGGATCCTGTTGGAAGTGATGCATGTCTATCTCCGTTAAGTTCATCCATGCCTCAATTCCGTCTCCAGATTTGTTTTCCTTCAGAGTACTAATAATTTCTGTCGTCGAATGCACACTACTCACCCATGCAGGCTTTCCCCAGCCAAAGTTTGCTTCATCCAGGCCCATCCTGCACCAGCTTGTAAACTTATATGTATCTACCTCGCCCTTGTTCAATTCTTCACACAACTCTCTATGGGAATTTGTTACCATTAAAAACACTTCATTACTGCTTACTGCATTTTTGCAATCTGAAATTGCTTTCCTCTTAGCATCCCTCAGCAGGCTCGCAATGTCACTCAACTCTAGCTTGTTGCTCCCATCATTTGCATTGAATCTGGACATGAAAGGCATATACATGTTTCCACAAGCCTCTTCTGGTAAAGGCATACTCACCTTTGCTCTCAAGGTCATTATCTGACGCAGTGAAGATGCCCTCAAGTGTCCGTTTTGTGCTTTCACCGCACCAATGAGAGCCTTCCACAAAATTGTTGTGACCACCTCCAAGCGCGAAGGATGGTACTTGACCCCGGAATTGGCACCACCACTGATTTTAGATTTCAGCTTGTTTATTGCTTCCTTGTTAAACACAAATACTTTGGTTACAATCTTAAGTTGAACTTTTGGTGGAGGTGGAAGCTTGAGACATAAGTCTCTTTGTGGGAAGAGAAACGGCAAATCAAAGCTTGGACGAGGAACTCGATCACTTATCCCACCTTCTCGGAATGTTGTTGCCCATGCATTGATGAATGTGGAGACGGTCGGCCCATCAAATATCCTGTGCGAATTGAACAAACCAATCGCTAAACCTCCACACTTAAACTCGTTAATTTGGATGGCTAATAAAGGACTAGTGTCTGATTCAGTTACGTAAGGAACAAAGTGAGCCAGCAGCTCAAGATTACTGTTGGGCTCTTGTTGGAGAATTTGAGTGAGGTCTACTCCATCAACTTTGGCTTCCAAGAAGTCCACTCCTTCATCTTTACAATCAACCGAGAGATTATCTTTGATGTATCTTCCGGCTAGAGGGTAAAAGAGTGTTAATGTTTCTGATAATGACTTCTCTAGTTGGTCGATGGTTTTGGTGATTTCATGGTGGTGGTTGGGATAGTAGAAAATGATGGGGAAATGCTCTGAAGGAGCAAGCTGATCGAAAAATGAGATTTTCAGATTCTGAAGGTGTGGAGGAGTTTTCACAGAAGGTTTTATTTGCTTTCTAGATATGATCTGAACCTCCATTGTTAGCTTGCTATCGCCTTCATGCCAAATCCAATCGACATTTCATAGCTAGCTACTCAGGAAGGTTTAAAAATTCATGGAATTCATTGGTAGCCGAATTTAATGTCTGCCATTTGAATAATTATTATTTTAATTTTCTCTTTCTCTTTTGTTTTTTTCCCTCTTAATGTTTGAACACTGTTACTTGTCTGTCATGTGATTAAAGGAAGTTTTGATACTTTCTTAATTTAAAAAATAATAAATTTAATTTTAATTGATATAAACGGATCCAAAAATACTACATTGCCTGTCTATAAATAAATATCAAATAAAAAATAAAATTGATATTATCCTGCTTCAATTTGATAAGTCATGATCCATGGCAAGAGTAGCAGTAGAATACTGCTTTAATTTTGTCGATTTCGAAACCCTAAATGAATAAATTAAAGTGTTTCACGTGGGAGTGGGGTTCGATGATCGCTCATGGTCCAGCTTAGGTAGAAGCCCACCATGTGCCTGTGTACGAGCTTTAAGCTCACCTCTTGAATAGGCCACGCGTCTTAACAGTAGAACATTGGCCATTGGATAATGAAGCTCAAAATTAATATTTTTACTTGGTCCTTTATTCATAATTTTTTGCTCCTCAAGTTTTCATAAAAAGCATTTTAGTCCTTATTTTATAATTTTATACAATTATATTTCTGCATGCAATTTTTGTTTAAAAAAAATAGGAAGTATTAGTAGGATATAAAATAAGTATTTTTACTCAAACCATATTAATAAATATATATATATTTTTTTATACTTACTTGTTTCAATACATATTAGATATTTTTAACAAATATTTATTAGATCAAATAAAATTGATATTTTTATGTAATAAGACTAAACGAGGTTTCACTGTAGCTAAGTCATGCTACAGTTAAATCGAAACGGCATAGATTTGAGCTTCTTTTTTTTTCCCTTGAAATGACATTTATTTTAAAGAAAGGGTTTTCGTTTTTAAATCAATTTTTCCTTTCTTACAATTTGATCTTTCAAGTTATTATTTTATACAAAATAGTTCCTAACTTTAATTACTATTAAGCAAAGGTCCCTATATTTTTTGTTTGGGCCTGGTTTCTCCAGGTCCATGTAGAAGAGCTTGGTGCCAGTCCAGCTTTTTTTTTCTTTTCTTTTTTTATGCTTTTATTTTTTTAATTATTTATTATTTAAATCAAATAAATTTTTTCACAATTAGTGTTAATTAATTTTTATTTACGTCTATATTTTTAAATTATTTAAAATATTAAAATATAGTATATAATAATATATTTATCCGCCACAACATGAGAGTACTAGGCTAGTACATACGAGTTTAAAATCCGGAAATTCAGATTCGTCAATTTGGAAAAATGCTGAAAACTATCGTAGGCCTAAACCAGAGGATTTTCAGAACATAGGTACATCAATCCTGTAATCTTCTTTTTTTTTTTTTTTTCTTTTTGCTTATTTAATTTGCTTCCTTCTCCTGTTCAGGACAAAAAGGCTTCCACCAAGACCTTTGGGCTTACCTATCGTAGGTCTAATTCTCCGCTAAACAAGCAGAACAATGGCTTCAGCATAGAGTAAGAAAATATGGTCTCATTTGGAAAATGGACCTTACAGCAAGTTGTAGAGAGTGAATCAGTCAGCCCCATGAACTTCCTATTGAAAGAAAGAAAGTGACATACATGGAGTAAATTATAAATTAGTTCCTCTAGCTTTAATAAATAAATAAATAAATAAATCTCTTTTGTTTCAATAAATATTATTTAATTTTTTAACTATTGTTGATTATGTTTAATTTAATATTATTTATATTTTAAAAAATTTCTTATTTTTTTATATTTTTTCTTATTTTTATTTCTTAAAACAAAATAAATTAAATAGGAGAAAAACAACTAAATTTCAAATTTCAAATTCAAAAGATTTTTACTAAAAAATAATTTATTAAAAATTAATATAAATTATATTTTGAAGTTTCATTCAATAGGTTAAACTATTGAATTGAGATATTTTTTTTTTTTTTTTTTAATGATTTGTATTGATAAAATGCTATGTTTTAGGAATTACAGAAAAGTGAAGCTTAGGATCATTTTACCTTCAGGGTTGGAGCGAATTCGATTTTTCCTCTTGAGTTTTCAATTTTATCCATCCTATTTTTCTGATATGTTATTGGTGAATCAAAATTGACGCCTACCATTTGAAAACTTTATCTAAACTAATAGGAACAAAGCATTTTTAGTCCCTAAACTTCTGTAATTTGATCAAATAAAACTCTTTTTACTTGATATAATTTGATGAGATTAAATCTTTTATTTTCTATTAAAAGTTCCAAATGATATCTTTACATGATTTATATTTAAAATTTAAGATGCAAAATTAGAAGTTATCATTTTTTTTTTCAATATGGCTTACCATGAAAACAAAAAAACGAAACAAAAAAAATAAAAAAATAATAATAATAATTTAAAGCTATGCTGAGGCGTAGGCTGTAAACCCAAAGAACCTGGTTGAAGCCTTTTTGAACTTTGCCTCGTCAGAAGAAGGGATAGAAGCAAAAAGAAAAGGATTGCAGGATTCAGAGCTACCATAGAGATAGAGATTGATGTACCTACTTATAGAAAAACCTGTAGTTTTATTATGATAGTAAGCATAATTTTTCATCACCAATTTATACAGAGTATAAGTAGCCTTGCTGAGTAATACTGGCAGGGAGAAGGAACAGAAGTGGCACATTTTTCCTTCCCTAAAATAATATTGATTTTGAACTACCACGAAAGGAAAAGGATAGGCTATGTACTTAGGAGTAGCATTTAGTTAATTTTTACGGGGATCTTCGGTTCAATTTCTATCTCTAGTCCATCCTTGAAAATTGGAAAGCCCGGCTCTCTGGAAAAAGAAATCCCTGGGCGACAGAGCTTCCATGAGAACCTGTTCGCCAGGTAATGTATTGTAATAAGAGTTTCAATTCTTGCAAATTCATTTCCAGGACATATTCTAGGCCCTCCTCCGAATGCCACGAAACTATATGGAGGGACTGATCCTTGTATCTCGAAACGTTCGGGATCAAACTTGGATGCATCTGGGAATATATTGTCATCCATATGTGTCATGCAGGGTGACAACATTACCTGAATCAAAAAGTTGAAACTTAGTACAAAGATTTATTATATGTTGTGAAGTAATGTGATTGAGCATAGAATTGTTTCACACCTGCCATCCTTTGGGAATCAGGTATCCTTTGTATTCAAAATCTTTTAGAACTTTCCTAAAGAAAGTAAACACAGGAGGGGTCATCCTTAGAGACTCCATTGCAACTCTCCATGTGCATTTCATTCTTGCAAGATCATCCCATGTTAAAAGCTCACCACAGGCCTTACTCTTGGCAATCTCCTCTTGTTCTGCAGTCTCAAATTTTAGTAATTGCTTTGAATTTTTGCAATCTGTAGTTTTTATTGACTCAATTTAATTGCATACCTTGAATCATACTGGCATAAACAGATGGATCATCGGCTGAAATTCTGATCAAGAAACTGAGAAGGTTTGAAGTTGTATCATAGCCTGCTATCATTATAAACACAAGTGAATCAACAATCTCCTCATCAGATAATACTACTGAATTGTCTTCATTTCGGAGACTAAGCAAGCTCGTGATAAGATCTTGTTGAGGAAAGGCAGTTGCATGCTCTAATGCAGCCCTTTTTTCTTGAATAAGATCCATTAGGATCGTTCTGATTTTTGCACTTGCTTGTAGGCTCCGATTGAAGCGTGTGAAAGGCAAATTGATTGGTACTGAGAAAACACCCTCCAGTATTTGATGGAAGAGGTCAAGTAGTACGTCTCTTTTTGCACCTTGCTCTATTCCAATTAAAAGGGAGCTCATAACGTTGAAGGTAAGGGTCTTCATAGATGGCATTGCCTAGAGCAAAAAAATAAAAAAAATAAAAATCAGATATATAAGGAATACAAAAGTGGAAGAACACAACATATTTACTTTTGTGATATTTAGTCAGTGGAAATTTTGATTGTTTGATAAAATTCACATACCAAAACCTTGTTCTTGCCACGCCAATGCATCTCAAAATGTTTTCTAATTTCTTCATCCATCTTACTAACATATTCCCTTAAAACTTCAGGCTTTAAGAACGATAAGAGCGCTCCTCTCACACGCTTGTGCTCATGGCCACTTAATTCTAGGATATTCTTCTCACCGCAAACCCTTCTTATCGAAGATGGTTGCTGAGTGGCAAGAATGTTGCTGTCGCAAGTGAAGACGAACTTGTTCGCCGCCTGTCCATGGAGGAACACGGTTGGGGTCCCAAGGATGCTCATTTTCGAAATAGGGCCATATTTTCTTATTCTATTCTGAAGCCATCCTTCGGCTGTGTTTTTGCGCATGGCACTTAGAAAGCTGAGGCTTTGGCCTATGATGGGTAGACCCAAAGAACCTGGTGGAAGCCGTTTTGAAATTTTTTTGGTCCAGAAAAGGTAGGCAGAGAAGAGGAAAACGAGCAAGCAGAGCAAGATTTGAGTAATCATAGCTGCTGAAGATTGATGCAAGAACAACTATATGGGCGCTGGAAGGTAATAATCCTACTTTCAGAAATTCAGATTTTGGTTCATGTAGGAAAAAGATTAGAGAGTTTGCAGTTAGCAATGATCCTTTTCTGCTTAAATTTCGAGCTCTTAGTTGTTAGTGCGCGAGTAATGTAAAATTATATGCGCCCAAGTTTCAAACTCAAAAAAAAAAAAAAAAAAAATTGTGTTAAATATTATTTTTACGACTTTGCTTAACAAGTTAAACATTATCTCAATTATTGTATGTCTACATGCAGATTCTGTGGTAGATCTTGACGCAACATTTTGTCTTTGTAGTAGACCTTCATTAGTTCGAATCTTTCCAAACTGAAAAGTAAATCTTTTCAACCATTAGGCAAAGATGAACGGAGTGGTTGGCTCTAACCTAAGCATGATGCAGACCTATTTTAGCCTCTTATTTTTTATGGGTAAAACATATATCTCATGTTAAATAGTTAAATAAAATATAATTAATATATATGGTTGAAAATGAATCATTCATCATAAAGATTAAGGTTTCTGGATAGAATCTAATCTCAACTATCTAATGAAATTGACATAAAAATAGGAGTATCTACTATTTTATACTTTATCTATTCAAATGATTCAGTAAAATAAAAATCATATCAAATTTTATATAAATTCAAATTAACTAATTAGATTCAAGAACTGGTTCCCATACAAATACAGTATGCTTCTCCGTAGAATATTTAGTTGGATTAATCCTCTTGTTTTCACTTTAAAATGGAATATGAATGAGTCTTTTTTGGAAAACTCAGATATTTCTGGTGCAGGTGGTGTTTTACGGGATCATTGTGAGAATTTTTTTTTTAAGTCTTTTCCAGTTTATGTAGAGATCAAAGATTCTAATGAAGTGGATGTCCTGGCTATTTAAAAAGCTTCGGAAATCAGCATTGCTTCTCTTTAGTTATTTAAATCCATTGGTTTATAGAGTCAAATTCGGCAAATGTTATTGTTTGGATGAAAAAATCTTCTTTTAATAGACTTCGAAAGTTTCAGAGTAATTTTAATGTTATTTCAAATTTGATTTTTGTATTTAAAATCAGTTTTTTTTCCTTCATATTCTTAAAAAAAGAACTAAGATATGATTTATATTAGTCTCTAACACATACTCTTAAGTAAAAGCTAAACTTGTATATATTCATACTATTTTGTGCTTAATTAATTAGAATAGAAAATGAAGGTGGTAGGATTCGAACTCGTGATCTTTTGGTCATCAAGACTATAATATCATGTCAAAAGATCATCGCATTCAAAAACTTAAGCTATTAAGTGAGATCTCAAGATATGATTTATATTATTCTTTAACATATAGAAAGCTTTTCGAGTGGCCAACCATTATTTCCTAACTTCATTGTTGATGTCTACTTTATGTGCAGACTCCTGTCAACAAATCTAATAGAGATTATGATATAGTTTGAGTTAGCTTCGTATTGCTAGCTCTAGCTAACTCTTTTACATGTATTTTTTCACTGATATTATTTGTCACAAATCTCTTGTAACTAATTTATGTATATAATACAATCGGCGAGTCTCACTAAAAATGAGTGTAGACAAAGTACATTTTCCAAACTACTCTTGTGATTTAAATTGGTATAGAGCTTTTTTTGCAAAAGTGCAAATCATGGCCTTAGACACTTCTATTTCTTCTGCTAAAAACACATGTCAACTTCCGCAAAACACAATCTCTACTCAATACACAACCACTTGTTTAACCCAATTCTCAAATGTACACCGTTTTATTTCTATCAAACTCACACCTTCCAACTTTATATCGTATTGTGTTTGACTTTAGTCATGCCACAACGAAAGAAACTTAAAGAAAAAGTTATGAAGCGACAAACTTTGATAGAGCTTGTAGATTATGTCTCTTCAGCTAATGGGAAATTTTTGAAACCTGTCATGCAACATATTAATGCTAACATGTTGTCGATAAATTTGTTTAGAACACTCATTTCTGCTCCTCGCGAGAATAAAATTTTAGAAGCCTTTCATTTGGAGGAGGATGAACCCTCGATTGACCCTGCATGACCTCATTAATTAGTAGTTTATGGATTTTTTTTTTCTTTTTATGTTTGTGTCATCACGTGCAACAGATCCAAAATTAGGCAAGTGGTCTTTTGGTGCAAAATTAGCCAATCCTAGATTGATTTAACTGTTGGAGTCAGTTAAATCAAACAATTTATTCAGGGATTGATGACAGAAATTTTTTTTATCATGAAAGTTAAATAAGATTATGGAGGTTTAGACGTTTAATAGAGGATTCCTGTTTGACTTTAATCATACTACACTGTCTATGTAATTGTTTTAGTGGAAATTCTATATGGAAAGACATGATTCTGTCTAGTTGCTAATGCCAAAAACGATCTTAGTCTCGATGATTACAGATGGATTTATGGTTAAAAAATTGAAGAGTGTGCAAGTTGCCATAAAGTAGAGCCCAAAGACAGCATTAGGAGGCTAATTATAAATTATGTAGAGGGACCCATTGGGCAAATGCTATATGGACGGAAAAGATTTGGTTCTAGATTCAAACACAAAAAAGGAGAAATAGATTTCTAGTTTTCTAGATAGACTCATGATCAGTTAAATAAAATTTATTTATTCTTAATAGAGCCATATTTTATGTTATATTCATTTATTCTATTATTTTTTATCGAGGACTTTTAGAGCCATTAGTGCTTTCTTTATTTTAGGATTTCTTTATTTGATTGACGAATGTCGTAAAGAAAATTATTAATGAAATTTGGATTTATTGTTGAGTAATTAATGAATTTTATGACGATAGACGTCATATTATCTCGAATTGATTACTGGATAATGTAAACGTGTATCAATAGAAGGTTGCGGTTTGCAATTTTTTTAGCACAAGAAATTAGGTGTGTCATGAAAAGGATGTCAAAACCATCTTCTATAAATCTGAATTTTTTTTTTTTTTGACAATTATGACTTTCGATTTTCTTAATGTCATTATATATTTATATACATATATATATATATTTGAAAGAACAATCTCAACTCAAAAGTTTAAGATGTTACATGAAGCTCAATGAAAACCACAAGTTCATCTATAGCGTGTTGACAAAACTCTCTTTTGGATAAAAATATTGTCAAATAATCATCTCAATTCAAAAGTTTAAACTATTATGTGAGACTTTATAAATGATCAATTAACTAAATAGTATGCATATAGATGGCATATTGTTCTAGTTAAATGTTGGGTGATTTTTAATGGAGTTGTTATGCTTATGAATAGGTTTTTGAGTTAAAATTTGGATTCTAATTGTTTAGAACAAATGAGGTAAGTAAATCTTCAAGCATTCTTCTACTTCAAAATAGAAAGAATGATTTCTTAAATTTGTATTTTCTATATTATATTTATTATGTTCTTAAAAAGAGTGTCAAGCATATGCTATGTTTAATTGTTAGTTTGCTTATATGAAAACGCTTTGTGAATTTTAAGATAAATATTTTTTGGAGTTGGTTTAAAAAATGAAATGGTGCTTTGTTGGTTCATGGAAAAGATGAATGGTATAACTAGATTTGTAAGAGTTTTGTTTGATGTCCCTCATATGGCTACGAATGAAATAGTGACCTTTAGCGAGTGAGTTATTGTTAGAGAATATATCCCATATTGAGTAGTTAAATTAAAGATAATTAATATATAAAATTGAGAAAAGTCCACCTACCATAAGACTTAAGTTTTATGGATGAAATCGTGACCGTAAAGCTTAAAAACCATCTTTTATTAATTAAAGATAATTAATATACAAATGAAATAGTGACCATAAGGCTTAAGTCTTATAGATGAAATCCAATCTCAACTATCTAACTTTATATCATATCGAGACGTAATAGCATAATAAAGATTTTGAAGCTCAAACCACTTAACGAGACTTCAAAAGGTAGATCGTAAGTGATCATCAATAAATTATAATAATTAAGGATGAGTGTAAGGTTATGACTTAAGAACTAAAGATGAAGAAAGTGCATGTTCACATAGCATGCCTTTACCACATGTTCTATAAGCAATTTAAGCTTTGCAATTGTGTTTTATAATCGCTAATGTAATTTATATGTATGAAATTGGTTTGGTATTATGTGTGGAGATTTAATTACTTGCTAAACCGTAGTTAGCTCACCCTTTCCCTCCTTCAAATAGGTAGAAGTCAAAGTTATGCATGTTAATGACTTTCAAGCTTGGTGATTGTTTTAATAACTGAGGTTAATAGCTCAACTAGAGATTATATTTATCCGTAGTAGAAAAACATTTCATTTCATAATTTAAGATTCATTTATGATAGTTTAAAGTTTTTGAAGACTTGTAATATTGAATTCTATTGCTTTCTCCATGACAGGATTTCTTAATATATATATATATATATATATATATATATTCACATTAATTAGTTAAGCAATGTTGTTAATTAAATTATTAATAGAATATGGATTTTCAGACATTTTGGATTGATATATGCTTAGTAATTAATGAATTAGGTAAATTACTAAAAACACCTAGTATTTAGGTGGTAGGAACACTCTGCACTCCTATTTTTAAAAAATTACACTTTACATCCTATATATATTATAGTTAAATTTCAGACAGGTGAAGTGCAAAAAATCTAAAATACTATCACATATATAATTTGACCTCACATGCCAGCTAAGTATTGTTTTCCCATACCCACCTAATGTTTCTCTCTTCCTATTCATTTCTCTTTGTTTGAAGACAGATAAAAAATCGCTCAATCAATCCAATAAATTTGATTAAAAACCTTATTTCGTCTCTCTTGTGGTTGAGTAAAGCTGTGGCTGCTATTTGAATAAGAATTGAAGACAAATCAAACAAACTAAGGAGGTACGTGAAACCCTAACTCTTGATTTTTAAAAATTTTAATCAAAAAGGTATTTAAATCATAAAATATTTGGATTGAGTTTATATGTTTGCAATCCCAAGCAAAACCTATAAAGAAAACTTATCTAAAACCCCAAAATCTCTTAGATTCTAAGTGTTTTATTGCGTCAACATTACTATTCATGGACCTGAAGGGATGATTGCTGCTAGATTCAATGATATAGTCCAAGACACATCATTTGAGGCTGTGATGTTGTCTCAAACGAATGCAATTTGGTTTGTACAGCTGAATTCTTCACTGATGTGAAGGATTCTAGCAAGGAGAAGGAATGGACAGAACAAAAGGCAGAACGGGCTAAACAATGATAGGAGAAGAAATAATTAGCGAGGGCAAAGATTTAACAATGTCCGTATGACGGTGGTGGTGGTTGTATTGTCGATGATGGCACTTATGGTAATGGTGTTAGGGAGCACTTTAGGTGCGAGTAGCCAGTAGCAAAGAGAAAAAAAGGGACGATGCCTCCATCTCACCAGAATCTAAATGGGTCTTCTGTTGGAGTTAGCTTAGGGTTCAACAAGCAAACAAGAACTATTGATTCTTTGAAGAAGCATGAATTTGGGTGTATGACAAAGAGCAATGACCATAAGATGGAAGGTCATGAAAAGAAATCAGATTTAGATAATGTGAAGACACTAAAGCAATGCTAATTAAATAAGAGAACTAATTTTTGTAATCATTTTATCTTTACTTTTCTTTTCAAGTAGAGAGGTTAGGAATTCATTTTTTGCATTTCCTAACTTCATTGATTGCAGATGTACACGAAATGTTTGCTAAAATGTATATTCCTAAAAATAGACGAGTTGGTACAACCTTACAGATAAAAAGGGCATTTTGCGATGTCAGAAGGTTTAAGCCTTAAAGCCCTACTTTCTTTTTTATCTTGAGACCAATAAGTAGACATTTGGTGAGCCTGTAAATATAGTGCTCTTATAGGGTTCCTTATTTAGTTTCAATTTGAAAAGATCCTAATTTTGTAAATTAACTTGTTTGTGCAGTATGTGCCAACTGAATTTTCAAGGAAGTATTAGGTCAAATTTCAAGACATGTCACACTTAGGGTTTCTAATGGAGGAAAATGGTCTATCAAGTGCTGTAAGCAAAATAAATGTATGCTCTTGAGTAAATGATGGAATGAATTCGAGATAATAATGGCAAGAAATAAATGGTCAAGAAATGGTTCCAAAGGACATTGTGGTTATTTAAAAAAATAACAAATGGCAAACTTGTAAAAATTGGGATTTTTTACCCAAAATTTTGAAAATGTAAACAAAATTATTATATAAGGTGTTTTCTGATACGTGTATTAAAACTTTGAAGTGTAAAGTCCAGTATTTAGAAAATGGGGATGCAGAATGTTCCCGCCACCAAAATACATGGTAGTTTAGTAATTTACCCTAATGAATTTTATGGAGATAGATTTAGTATAATTTAGAATTGATTGCTCAATAATGCAAACATGTCAACGTCTAGTTTTTGGGGCGTAATACATAATATATAAGAATTTTATTATTTTTTTCACCTGAACTAGTTAAATGCAAATTTTTCACAAGTGTATCAATAACTGATTGCAATTGAACTTTTTTTTTTTTTTTGAACAGGAAGTTTAAATATGTCAAGACAAGTATATATATATATATATATATATATATATATATATATATATATATATATATATATATTTTAATTCACAAGAGAGATAAAACTCTATACAATAAACTATAAGAAATCCGCCATTTAGTGACTAAACATATTTTGTCTTTAATTTCTAATAGATTTGCAATGGAATAATGACAAAATCAATTTGATCCTGATTTGAGATGAAATAATGATGGAATTTATCATCGGATTAACTTCGATCGCTAATTTGAAACCAAAAAAATTAACAACGCGATAGGCACCTTCTTCCCTAGCTATTTTACGAGGCATTGGTAACTAAATCACATCCGTTGCTAAATTTAAATCCCCTAAATTGAGCAAAACCTCTCTTTTTCCCATTTTTCTTTTCTATCTTTCCCTCTCCTCCTATTCTCTTCCTCCTCTTACGGTCGACAAGTGCCTAGACCTAACTACACCACCTAAGGCGACGTTATTTCCTCCCCAACCTCTTTCAACGAGT